AAAAAAAAAAAAGAAAAAGAAAAAGAAAAGAAAACTATTGTGTTTCACCATACTGCTGCTCTTCATCACTCAGCAAGAGCGATTGTGAGTTGCCGGGAAAACGAGGTTGGAGGCTTTCAGCTTTGTGTCATATGGTAGCCCATTTTGTAGTGGTAGAGTTGACCACAGCCTCCTGTACCTCTTTATAGTAGCACTGTGGAAGGTGCATGTTTATAGGCGGAACTTGCTTTGTCTTGAAGGTCGTGGCAGCATTGCCTGAAGACATGAGAGCAGGCTTTGAGTCCAGCGGTTTGTCATTGGAATTGGCGATCTGTGTGCTCACCCTCGGATTGCTTACTGTGCTCCTGTTTGTGTGGAGAGGCTTCCGATCAGTAAGTCACCACAGCATACTGAATGGTCACTCTGGGGTTTGTTTTTTAATTTATTTCACTTTTAGTTAATTTAATTTATTTTATATGTATGACTGTTTTGCCTGCGTGTATGTGTGTATATCACATGTGTTCTTGGTACACATGGAGGTGAGAAGAGAGCATTGGATTCCCTGGTACAGGAGTTACTGATGATTGTGAGCTACCATGTGGGTGATGGGAATTGAACCCTGGTCCTCTATAAGAGTAACAAGTGCTCTTAACCACTGAGCCACCTCTCTAACCCTTATTCTGTCTTTAGACTGAACAACTAATTGGAGAAACTTGTTATTTCAGGGAAATAAGTTAGGTCATAGCGTTCTGGGTTACTCATAGTAATATGTAGTTATTAGAAACTGAGTATAGATCTAGAGAAATGTTTTTGTGTGTAAGGATTTTTTAAAGGATTTTCTTTGTGGGGTACTATACACGAGGACAAAAGCCCCACCCTTCTTTCTTACTTTTTTTTGCGGGGGGTGGGGGTGGGTGGTGGTGGTCTGTGTTTATTTTTCACAGTATGAAAAGCCAGCAAGGTGCATCTACCTACCAACCTAGAATAAAACCACTGCTGCCATTTATATTGGGTTAATAACCCCTGATTTCGCCCCCCCCTGGCTTGCTGTGTAGAGGTGCCCCTGTTCTGGGTCCTGCATTGCTTATTCCTATACTTAAGTTTTTTTTGGAGGGAGGGATAATATACCCTTTTTTTTCTCAGACTTCTTTTTAGATGTTGGCCCTGTGCTTCTGACTTCATTTCTAATTTCTTCATGGTTTGCCGGTTCCCCCCAAGGAGCCCTCCACCTGGTGTTGCCCTCCCTTCTCTCCTGTTTACATACATCCCATTATATCTTGTCTTTTCAATTTTTCTCTTCCAATTTTCTCTCTCCGTATTTCCTAGGTGGTATGAGTCTTCTTTTGTTTGTTTTCCCTGATCATTGACACTAGTACACTGCTCTCACGGCGGGTTTATCCCTCCTTCACTGAGAGCTGAAGCATAAAGAGGAAAAAGGCTAATGAGTTTTTAAGAGTCAGTCCAGGTCCAGAGCCCCATAATATTTTGTAGACTTTTATTTAGGTTATTAACAGTAGGAGACTAAAAATAGGGGCTCCTTAGAATACTTTGTCTTAGGGCCAAATAGTTGTGTGGGAAACCTGGGTTTAAGTGGACTAAAACAAGTGTCTTTAGAATGAAGCTGTTTCTGAGCCTTTAATATGATAACACACAATGTGAGTCTTCAATGGGAGACCTTACTATTTAGCATTGTCTCATTGGAAATAGAATGCTTTTGGGTAATTCATTCAATGTAAAGTGGTAAGAAAGTTGTTATTTTAAAGTTGGGAGTAGAAGTCATATAGATTGACTTGAAGGTATATTTGTTTTAATGTAATTTTATTAAAAATTTGTTTCAGATTCGAAGCCGATTTTATGTAGGTAAGTTGTTTTTTTTCTATTTTAGATCTCGTGGTTGTATATAATTTAAAAACTTAGAACAGTTTAGTCATAATAATCTGTCTTTTGCTTTCTCAGGAAGAGAAAAAAAATTGGCTCTTGAGCTTTCTGCGCAAATTGAAGAAAAATGTAAACTACTTGAAAAAGTTAGCCTTGCTCAGAAGGAGGTAAGACATGTTTGAAAATAACGTCAGGGTCGAGTGTGGGACTTAACGGGTTCTCCGTGGGAGCTTTGTTTCAGAGCAGAGTGCCTTTGCTCCCCCGCTTCATCACTTAGCATTCTCCTAGCAGCCCCCTGGTGATGTGTGGTGCTTCTCTCCCTGGTGAACGAACGAGGTGGGGCGCCTTGATAGGCTTACTGCTCATCTAGATACTCTTTTTTTTTTTTTTTTTTTTTTTTGTGAAATTGCCTTTTTAAGTCTTTTTCACCTTTAAAAATTATTATTATTGTGTGTGTCTATATGTGTCTGTGAATGTGCGCATGTCCCAAGGCATTTGTGTGGTGATCGTTGGACATGGAGGAGTCAGTTCTCTCCTTTCTCATACGGGTCCTAGGACTTGAAGTCAGGTTGTCAGTCTTGGAGCAAGCTCCTTAACTACTGAGCCGTTTTGCTGGCCAATTTCCACCCTTTTAAAGGCACTCACAATCTTTTCCCCCGTATGTCATGTAGAAACAAGGCTTTTGTTTTTAATGTTTTATATCTTATATATAAGGGTTTTGTCAGATGTAGGGATTGCAGATATCTTCTACCCTGTGGCTTCTATTTCTGATTTGTTTGGTGTCTTAGAAGGTAGAGGTTTAGAATTAGAATTTTAATGTAGTATAATGTGTCAGATTTTTGCTTATCAAGGATGTAGAGGTGCCTTTACTTGTCATTGTGTAGAGACTTTACTTACTGTTTTCATTTGGGCTTTATCGTATTAGCTGGCTAGGGCTGCTGTGACTAAATGCCACTTTAGCAGCAGGAGTGAATTTCCTTACAGTTCTGGAAACAAGAGTCCAAGATGGAGGTGTAGGCAGGCTTTGCTTCTTCTGTGACGTGTCCCTTGACTTGTAGAGAGTGCTGTCTGCTTGCCCTGTCTCCCCCAGATCTAATGCTCTCTTCTTAGGCTACCAGTCATATTAGGTGAGGGTCGTCTTAACCGCCTCTTGTTAGCCTAGTTATTTTTAAAGGCTCTGTCTCCAAATAACACACACTCAGAGACAGGGTTTCTCTGTGTAGCCCTGGCTGTCCTGGATCTTGCTCTGTAGACCAGGCTGGCCTTGAACTCACAGAAATCCTCGTGCCCCTGCCTCCCGAGTGCTGGGATTAAAGGTGTGTACCACCATTACCTGGCTCTTTTTACTTTCTTCTTCTTCCTTTTTTTTTTTTTTTTCAACAATTTATTTATTTTTTATTTTATGTGCAGTGGTGTTTTTGCTTGCATGTATGTCTGATCCTCTGTAATTGGAGTTACACCCAGTTGTGAGCTGCCATGTGGGTGCTGGGAGCTGAACCTCGGCCCTCTGGAAGAGCAGCCAGTGCTCTTAACTGCTGAGCCATCTCTCCAGCCCCCTCTGTTTACTTTCTTAATAGTGTATGTGTGTTTTTTTTTTTTTAAAAGATTTATTTATTATTTTACGTGCATGAGTGTTTTTCTTGAATGTATATCTGTATACCATGTGAGTTCCTGGTTCTTTCAGAGGTCAGAAAAAGACACTAGGAACTGGAGTTACAGTTCCTTGTGAGCCACCTCTCCAGCCATCCTCCTCCAGGTATCTTTTTGACACAGTGTCTTACTGTTTAGCCCAGGGAGGCCTGGGATTTCCTATGTATACTGTGCTGGCCTTAACTCAGAGATCTGCCTGCTTCTGCCTCCTGAGTACTGGAAATTTGGGCATGCGCCATCATCCCTGGCTTGATGGTATCATTTGAAACATAAATGTTTTCAAATTTTGATGATGATCAGTTTATTTACTTTATTATTTTTGTGCTTCTAGTTATAGAAATAGATAGAGATAGCTGGGCAGTGGTGGTGCACACCTTTAATCCCAGCACTTCGGAGGCAGAACCAGGTGGATTTCTGTGAGTTCGAGGCCAGCCTGGTCTACAGAGCGAGATCCAGGACAGGCACCAAAACTACACAGAAAAACCCTGTCTCAGGGAAAAAAAAAAGAAATAAATAGAGATTAATTCAGGGTGACAAGAGATTTACACTTGTGTTCATGTAGTTTTACAGATTTAACTCTAAGTCCATGATCTGTGTGGAATTGAATTTCATATCTAGTATGAGGTGGAAATCCTCATTCATTCTTTTGCATCTGGCTGTCTGGTTTTCTTAGGTCCACTTAACTGAAGAGTATTCTTTCTCCATGGACTGGTCGTGGAACGAGACATTAGTTTTGTTAGCTGAAGAGTCTGCATAAAGGAAGTCAAGCTGTTTGGTGTTGGTTTTACAGTCGGCATTGCTTTTATGAGAGTCTGTTGTGAACATACGTAGTTTTTTTTTTCCCCTGCTGAGTAAATTTGTACTGAATCAGTGCACATAGTTGCTTATCAACTCATTTCTTGGTATTATTATTTCTGGATCTTGGCTATTAAGAATATAGTTATGAACTTTTTTTTTTCTATAAGTTTATTTTTGTAGCATGTGTTCTAATTTCTCCTTACTAAAGGTTGGCAGGTCATTAGGCTGGGTGTAGTTTAGCTTTATAAGAAGCTTTCTGGCTGCTTTAAAGTTACTCTTTCACAATCGTACGTATATAATTTATTTAACGAACTTGGATTATATTCTTCTCCCCCAACTCCCTGCTCTTCCAAGCGCCTCCTTTCCAACCACACCTCCCTCAGTTACAGCCTCTTGGTGGATCGTCCCTGATGCACTATGCAGTGGCCTCCATGCCTCTTCTCCCTGGCTTTGGTTTGAAGTCTATTCCTTTAGACATGAGAATCGCTGTGCCAGCTCCTTTGCGGCTTCCTTTTGCCGGCTAGGTTTGTTTCTAACGTGGACTCTCAGTTTTGGATACCTTTCCTGGTTATTTGCGTTTCTTGGAGACAGCACATAGTTGGATCTTGATTTTCAGTCCAATCAACTAGGCTTCATGCTTCTTTTGAGATAGGGTCTCACTGTGTAGCCCTCACTGGCCTGGAACTGAAAGAGATCCACCTGCGTCTGCCTCCGAAGTGCTGGGGTTAAAGGTGTTAGAGGTATGAAGAGAGAAAATGTTGTGTATCAGTATTTAGGAAATGAATGGAAGGGGAGTAGGGAAGGGGACATTAGAAAAAGAGGAAAAGAGTAAGTGTCAGAGGCATGAAAAGCAACAGAGAAAATATTGTGTATTAGGTTTGGAGGAAAAAAGGACAGATAGAAGAGACTTTCTCACCAAGACACAAGTTCCCACATACAGACCAAACACCTAAAGTATAAAAGTGTTCAGAGTAAAAAAAATAAATAAATAAATGAAACTAATAATTAAACATTATGTATAAATAATTGGAAAATAAAAATTAAAGGTTAAGAGGCTATATATATAGCATGGAGGTCCCTAGGACGACTGTGGCATATAATAAATTTCAGTTTTACTCAATTATTGAAAAAAAAATAGCCAAATGAATGGAAACACATGAACTATGAACCAAAGGCTGAGGGGCTCCCAGCTGGATCAGGCCCTCTGAATAGGTGAGACAGTTGATTGGCTTGATCAGTTTGGGAGGCAACTAGGCAGTGGGACCAAGTCCTGTGCTCATTCCATGAGTTGGCTGTTTGAAACCAGGAACTTATGCAGGGACACTTGGCTTAGTCTGGGAGGAAGGGACTGGACCTCCCTGGACTGAGTCTACCAAGTTGATCACAGTCCTCGGGGGAGGACTTGTCCTGGAGGAGGTGGGAATGGAGGGTGGGCTGGGGGTAAGGGGAGGGCGTGGGAGGGGGGGGAATAGGGGAACCCATGGCTGATATGTAGAACTGAATGGTATTGTAAAATAAAAAATATATATCACAAAAAAAAAAATTAAAGGTTAAAATAATAAAAACAAAATGAGGAATAAAATGAAATAGAGAGGCTATGTTCTTGGTCCGTGCTCCTTCCTGCACTACAGTGCTCCCAAGTTTCCTGGGGTTTGTATAGCTCCTTCCTGGAGTGCCTGGACTAGGGGTGTGGGAATCCCTTACCTTCTGCTGTCGCCACAGTCTGTGCTGCTGGGGCCTGATGTCTCATCTGGATGCTCTTCCAGGTTGTGCAGCTTCTTTTCTGGTCCCAGGCATTACTTGTCCCATGGGGCAGTATAGCTGGGGTGGGAGGATGAGGCTTGTAGTTTTTTCAGCTTGAGGGTCCTGTGTTCTGGCGGGCACTTTTGTGTCTGTAATCTGCTGACCTGGTCTCTTCTGCTGGTGGATTCAGCCTCCAAGCTAGTTCTTCCCATGGTCTGTTCCAGTTCTGAACCCCGCTCCTGTACACAGTGGCAGGGAGGGGAATAGTGGTCATTGGAAGGCTCTCTCTCAGATCCCCTGTCCCTTTTTTGAGTGTTGTGGTCTGTTTTGCTCCCTGGTCAGGTAGTCCAGCCTCAGATTTGAATGTCTGCTTGGAATCCTTAATGGGCGCCTCCCTGGTGGGGCTCAGCTCGGCCTGCTTTCTGGTGTGCCTGGATGTGCTTGTGGAGGAAATCCCAAGAAGTCTGCTTCACCTTTCTGTAGCTCTTAGTGCTCTGCTGGGTATTATTATCTTGACTTTCTTCTACCCTGCTCCTGGTCTCCCAAACACTGTTTCTAAACTACCATGGTGAATCGCTTTGTTAGTATCTTTTTAAGCTGCTTCATTATATGTCATAGGCTTATGCTGCTTTATTGAATTCATTCATTGGATCTGTGGCTTTTGGGGCAGTCTTAGGGGTTTGTCTACATATAACATGCTATGTAAGTGAGGATTCTCTAGAGGAACACAATAGGATGAATCTATATACATGGAAAGGGGATTTGTTAGAGTGGATTACAGGCTGTGGTCTGGCTGGTCTGACGATGGTTGTCTACCAACCGAAAGGCCCAGAATCTGACACTTCATTCCTTGAGGCCAGTTGTCTGGGTCTTCCGTATACCCTGGAATCCTGAAGAACTAGGTTCTAATATCAGCAAGGAACGCCTCACAGCAGGGTCGATGAACTGGCCAGTGACGCTGGGGGCGAGCAGGCAGCAGGCAGAAGCTTCCTTCTTTCCTGCGCTTTTATGTGAGCTGCCTCCAGAAGGTGTCTTCCCACCTCAGACGATCCAGTCAAGACCAGGGGGTGCCTGGCTGCTTGGGTTTTAGTTGATTACAGATGTGGTCAAGTTGACAACAGAGATGGCCACCTCACATGCTATCTACAGACAGAGATAATGTCTTTTTTGATCTGGTTACCTTTGGAATCTTTGTTTGGTAACTGCTCTCAGCAGGACTTCCAGCACTGTGTTAACCGGCTGTTGGCCCTGCCTTCAGTTCCTCTCCATTTGCTGGGTTGGCTGTATTCTCCATAAATGGCCTTTATTATGTCCAGGGTCATTCTCTTAGACATAAGCCTGTGCAAGTTTTGATCAAGAAAGGAAGCTGAATTTTGTTCAGAGCTCTCTGTTGATCTCTGTGCTTGTATTATCTGTTTGCTCACGTGGTCTGGTGAAGTGATGGATGACACTGACTGTGTTCAGCCTTAGTGTCGGGTAAAGCCCATGTGATTAGGCATATACTCTTTTTGAGATTCGTGTTAAGTTCCATTTGTTAGAAATGTATTGAGAATTTTGCAGTAGTGGTTACCAGACACATTGACCAATTTTCTTCTTCTTGTGTTGCCTTTGTCATGCTTAGTTATCAAAAGGATACTTTTTGAAATATTCAGGCAAGCACAGGATCCTGTCCTAAAGCCCATCTGACTTAGCAGGTCCTGAAGTATATACATTGTTTCTTCATGGTTTCTAATTCTCCTGAAGTCCTTACCGAGTTCCCTGCCGGTGTGAGTCTCTTTTGTAAGGAAAAAGAGATGTGCGCTGCGGTTTGCCTTTCTGCAGGGCTCTCTCTACTCTCATACATCTCTACTCTCTAAATAGTTCTCAGAGGCTTTCGGATTCTGTCCTTGGTGTGTTATCTGTTGTTTAGCAGGAAGCTTGATTCAGAACAACAGTCCTCAATTTAATCACCCCCCTTAAAGACTGGCCAAATCTTGCGATGCTTTATATTTTATTATTCTTAGTGTCTATTCCTCGATGATTATTCTGTCTCTTAAAGATTTTGTCCTCCTTGCTTTCCTCATTTGTCATCTGATGTAAATGTCTGATGGCCGGTTACTACTCACTGCTCTATTGGATGAAGCCTGGAGGAGCTGTTCATTTGTTCAGAGGGTGGGAGACGACTCACTCTGGGATACTCTTCAGTACACTCTTGCTGGTACAGTGTTCACCCCGCAGACTTGGGACAGCTTTGCTGGTCACAGGGGTAAAGCTCTGCCATCTGTTGCCCCAGCTGGTGGTTGTGGTTTGTTAGCCGTCCTGGCTTTGGTCATCACAGTTGTTAAATGGCAAAAGCAAGCCCAGGAAATCCAAGGGAATTGGACTCACGAGGAGGTAGATTCTGTTTGCTTCTTCCGCATCTATTTAGATACAGTTTGAGGTAAAATCTGTAGTTTTTGCTCACGTGTCGCCTTCTTTCACTCAGTATGAAGGCTTAGACTCATCTTTAAAGGAGGCCAACTTTGACAAGGAGTCAACAGAAGCACAAAGTTTGAAGGTAAAAAAAAATACAAAAAAACCAAAAAGTATGATTTAAAAGCTAGGGAAAAGATTCTTACTAAATAACAAACTTTAAGAATTCATTATCCTTTCAAAAATAATTATTTCAGAGAACTGTGAAATGGTGTATCTGGATCTTAAAACTTACAGAAATAGGACATTTGTAGTAGCATAAAACATTTAAAAACAAAAGTTTTGTTCGAGCTCTTGTTATTAACTTGTTTTAAGAAATACATAATGAATTTATCAGAATCTATAGATTTATAGAAAGAAATACTTTATTCTGTATTCCTAAGAATGCATTGAAGAGACCATTCCCTTTTTTTTTTTTTTTTTTTTTTGACATAGTTTGCTCCCGGAAAGAGACATAGAACTCTTTACTAATTTAAACATAGTAGGAGACAAGTAAGTTGTGACCATATTATTTTTTCTTCCCATGATAGTAGTTCTAATTCCCATTAACGAGAATTAGACCAGAGGTTTACATTGTAAATAGTGGCATGGTAAATGTTTAATTCCTGTCTACAGACCAATCCCTGTCTACACACTCCATCATGGCCAGTTTTCAGTCAGTAACATGATGTCACTGAACGGGAGTTTAGGAGAGATACACAGTTAACTTTCCTGTTTCAGAGGACACAATGATTCATCTTAGCAGACAGACTAGGATGTGATGGAGTGCCTTGATACTGTTTACAGATGGAAGGGTTGTAAAAAGTGAGTAGTGAACTTGTAGAGTAGAAGCAAGCTGCTCCTGCTGGTGGTGAAATAGAAAACAGACCTTGTACCTTGGTTTACGTGTTCAGTCCAGCGTGGCAGTTTCTGTCATTGTCTGTCCCAGTAGAAAGTCTGTGTCTTGTGATTTAAAATGCCCTTGTAAAATCCACAAGAAGTTTGGACTCCAAAGAAATGCCTTAATTTTTTTTCTTTCTTTGTTGCTTATGAATATCCTCAAGAACACTTTGTAGTTGCTGTGTTTGATTCGGTGAGCCTGAGGAACCTTTTGTGGCTGCTATGTGTTATTTGTCGAGCCTCTGTTACAAGTGCTAACCCAATGGGAATTTATTAGGTTCCCCGAATGAAAGAGATTTATTTAGGCAGGTGTGGGGCATGCCTATTGTCCCGGCACGTGGAGGGGCTAGTGTTGGAGGATTGCCAACTCTGCCTCAAAAAACAAACACACATATACAAAATCAAAACAAAACAAATGCCACAAAACAAAACACGTAAGGAGTTTTAGAAGCTGCTTGGCATGCATGCTAAAAGAAAAGTTGTTACTGGGTAACAAAGACAAATATTTATTCAGACTTGGTGTACAGGTAATATAAACATACCAGGTTGTTATGACAATAAATTTATGTGAATTACAAGTAATGTAAGTTGAGATTTGGCCACACTGAATACCTTAGAAAATTATCTAATTTTAGTAATTGAAAACATTTTTAGGTGTAGTAGTCATAGTTGGACACACAATATAATGTAATACAAGTTTTACAAAGCTTGAGAGTTGACTTTGCAGGTAAAAATCAAACCAACAGAGTAATCTTGATTCAAGTAAGAAGTCCTATGATAAAATAATCAAATTTGGGGAGATTATAGGTAAAGTTTTTACAACTACTTAACACGTTTTGGTTTTGTTCTTTTTTTTTTTTTTTAACAAGTTTGTTGAAGGACCACAAATATCAGAGGTATGTTATAGTATTAAATCCAAAAATCAATCTAATAATTAATCACCTTAAATTAAAAAGATTACAGAAAATATGATGATGCAATCTTGATTTTAAAATTTATTTTATAATAAATTGAACTTGTCCTTTTTCCCCGTAACATGCTTTTTAACATGCTTTAGAACAGTTGACAAGCTGTGCTTGGTGGATTTCCCCCCTGTCTTTGTAAATAAAAGTTTTATTGGAATGCAACCATATTAATTCCTTCAGGGGTAGTCTTGGTTTCTTATGGTGAGCTGATGGGAGCCTGGAATACTTAGACTTTTTACAGAACTGCTAGACCTGCTGTTATTTTAATATCAGAGAAATGAACAAGTGCAGAAAGTGTTTATAAATTTGTCTGATTGTACTCATCTGATTTTTACCCTAACTAAAAGTTCTTATGTCTGGCTTGTTAAAGTTGGCTTTCTATTTTAGGCAACCTATGAAAATCTAGAAAGCTTGAAATCTAAACTTGAAGATGAAATACTCTTTCTAGAGAAAGAACTAGAAGAAGAGAGAGCTAAACATTCTGAACAAGATGATTTGGTGAGTCTTGTGTATTCCAGGAGAATTATGAATTTTACATACTAATACAGTATTGATTAAAATATGACATGTAATCCAGCCATAGTGACACAAGCCTGTAATCCTAGCACTTGAGAGGAGGAGCCAGGAGTTCCAAGCTAGCCTGACCTGTACAGGGAGAGGAGACACTATCTTTAAAAATGTAAATAAATAAAAATAGTAAAACTCCCAAACCATCCAAACAAGTAATAAATATAACCCAAGCAAAATAAAACAAAACAAAAAAACTCATGCATGTAAAAAAACAGAATGTAGAAGACCCTTTAGGACAAAAATTGCCAAATCTAATCTTTTCGTGTTTTAGATTTTCTCATAGGTCTTTTTTGCATATTCCTCTTTTCTTGTTGTTTTCATTTTTTTTTTAAAAAGATTTATTTATTATGTATACAGTGTTCTGCCTGCATGTGTCCTTGCATGCCAGAAGAGGGCACCAGATCTCATTACAGGTGGTTGTGAGCCACCATGTGGTTGCTGGGAATTGAACTCAGGACCTCTGGAAGAGCAGCCAGTGCTCTTAACCACTGAGCCATCTCTCCAGCCCCGTTGTTTTCATCTGTTGAGACATAGTCTTAGACTACACCCCAGTCTGTATAACTGTGTATCTGTATAACTGAGGCTGGCCTCAAACTCCTGACCTTCCTGCCTGTGCCTCCTAAGAGCTGGGATTGCAAGTGCGTGCCCCCACACTTGACTCTCTTGTACATTTACATAGAAATTTCCCATATTCGCTGTGGAAGTAACATGAATAATGTAACTTGAGTAATCATATACCTAGTGAAGGGTATATAATTTTTTAACTTAAAAATATATTAATAACTTTCTACTTTAAATTCTGGCATAAGGAAAATCTTGATGTGTGTGAGATTATTTAAAATGTGACGTTAGTGGTTCATCTTGAACCTGAAGAGTTCTGTGATACATTGAAGTTGAGAAGACGTACTGTTGTCATGTAATTTGTAAAGTACATGTGAACACATGGTAAGCAAGCTGACAAGGCCTCTTCATCTCGCCTCTCACTTTTATCGGCAATAAATTAGCAAATACACCTAACTAATGCATGTTGTCTTGGAGCTAAAGGGACTTATTAAATACTTACTGTCTGATACTGTCTTTTCAGATGGCTGATACTTTAAAAGAGATACAGTCCCTAGAAGATGAATCAAATGCTCTCAAAGCACAAGTAGCTGAAGTAAGTTGAATTACTCTAATTGGTCTGTCACTTTTGAAAAACATTTATGTTTTCATGTTATTTTTATTATTAGGTATATTAGTCAGAACTCTCTAGAGGAGCAGAACTAATGGGATGACTATTATCGTCTGTCTGTCTATCTATCTAATCGATCAATCTGATTGGGGATTTATTAGAGTGGCTTGCAGGCTATGGTCCACTTAGTCCAACAATGGCACTCTACCAACAGAGAGTCCAAAATCCCGTAGTTGCTCAGTCCATGAGGCTGGATGTCTCACCTGATATTCAGAATACACCAGAATCCCAAAGAAGTAGGCTCTAATGCCAGGGAAGAAATGGACTTGGCAGGCAGAGTGAGGGCAAGCAGGCCAAGAGCAAAGCTCCCTTCCTCCTTGTCCTCTAGATAGGCTGCCACCAGAAGGTGTCCCCATATTGAAAGTGGATCTTCCCACCTCAAAAGATCTGGGTTAAAGGTGGATCTAAGGCCAGGCGGTGGTGGTGCACACCTTTAATCCCAGCACTCGGGAGGCAGAGGCAGGTGGATCTCTGTGAGTGTTTGAGGCCAGCCTGGTCTACTGAGTGAGATCCAGGACAGGCACCAAAACTACACAGAGGAACCCTGTCCCTAAAAATAAATAAATAAATAAATAAATAAATAAAAAAAACAAAACATAAAAAAGATGGATCTGAGATCTAGATTAAAGGTGGGTCTTTTCACTTCAAATGATTTAATTAAGAAATATCACTCACAGCTTGCTTGGGATTTAGTTAATTCCAGATATAATTGATAACCAAGAATAGCCATCACATCAGATAATAAAATATTGCATTAGTATTTGAAATATAGGGACTCTTAAGTATTCATTTTTTTTTTAAACTTGAGTAACTGTCAATGAAATTCATTTTTCCTTTGATAAGTTTAAAGTACGTCTGTATCTGAGCACTCTTGAAGTTGTGTAACATTTAACAATAGAAACAAAGTTGTTTTCTACAGTATAAAGTTTAGGGGAGGAGACAAAGGGTAAGTAGTGTGGGATCTTGTGGAATAAATACTCTAGACACTTGTGAGCCTGGAAGAGAGATGTCGCCAGTGGACTGAAGCCAGGACAGTCCTGAATGAAAGGCTTCAATCCTGGGTCTGGTTTGTATTCTAAAACCACAAAGTGGGCAGAGGAGCAAGTGAGAGTTTTTCCGAAGCATACGTGGCAGTCAGCAGGTTGTTAAGGGAAACGACCTGTTGTTTCAGCTCTTCCTCCAGGTTGTTCTTCCCAGGTAGCAGGTGAAGTGGTGCTTGGCAAATAGGCAGTCCAAGCAGTGCTCTAAGTGAGTCACTAAGTACACCGATAAATCAGAATCTAATAACTGGTCTTTTCTATCTTTCCTATTTCAATGGTTAACAAAATTGTCTGCACAGTACATGGAAGGTTCAATAATTTGCCCAAGTCACATGGCAAATGAGTGGTAGGGGGTAGGATGTGCCCTGGGTCTTGGCCAGCCTTTGTCTGTTGTATCAAAGCAGTGTTAATACCACCTCTGCTGTTAATAGCGGCATGTTTTGGTCTTTGCTTAAATTTTGTGTTCTGCGGAGAATACATAAACATGAGGTTTTCTGTTAAATTGTTATCAACTGTGTATTTCTTTTACTTAGGCCAAAACGACCTTGAGAATATTTGAAATCAATAAAGAGCGACTTGTAGGAACAATAAAAGATGCCTTGGATGAAACTGCTGAACTTCAGGAAAGCCATAAGCAGGTCTGTAGTCTAGAGAGACTCTTAGATCTGAATATAGACTTTGATGTTCCGGGTAACTCACAACTGACCGTGCGTGGAGTCCTGTAACGAAAGAGTCGGCTTTTGAGAGCGGGCAGTCTCCCACGCATGCTTCCTGTGTCTCGTAAAGGATTTAGAAGTGTGTCCTTCTGTCTCTGTCTTCTCCCATGTGAGAAATCAGCCAAGGCAGTCAGCATTCTGACATTCACAGGAGACAGCAGAAAATATAGTAAGAGTTAATATATTAGCGATTTGGGGCCTAACGGAAGGAGTTCTGGGGGGCCGTAAAGTGGGAAGTTAGCTTCTGTCTCACCCTCCTCTCACATAGGCCTCGCACATGTATGCTCTCCCTTCTGTTCTCCCAACAGTGTTTGGCATGAAAGCTCTGTCTTCGCCGCCTCCTTTCCCTCTCTGTCTCTTCCCCTGCCTTCCTTTCCCTCCCTTGCTCCCTCTCTCCCTTCCTTCCTATCTATAATGTGCATATTGAGGTGTGTGTGTGTGTGTGTGTGTGTGTGTGTGTGTTGTGTGAGAGTTTGAGTGTGCACAAGTCATGCCTTGGTGTTGGTCCTTCCTCCACCTTGTTTGAGACAGACTGTCTCTTTTCTGTTGTGTATGCCCGGGTAGCTAGTCTGCAAGCTTCTAGGGATTCACCTTTCTCCGCCTTCCATCTCTCCGTAAAGCACTGGGATTATAGATGTTTGTGCTATCCATCTGGCTTTCATGTGTGTTCTGGGAATTTGACTCAGGTCTTCATCAATGGCAACCCTTCATCTTCCCACTCTAGCAATATGAAAATTTCTGATTACATTATTATGCGTCTCAGCCAGGCGGTGGTGGCACATGCCTTTAATCCCAGCACTCAGGAGGCAAAGGCAGGCGGATCTCTGTGAGTTCGAGGCCAGCCTGGGCTACAGAGTGAGTTCTAGGAAAGGCACAAAGCTACACAGAGAAACCCTGTCTCGAAAAACAAAACAACAACAACAACAAAAACATTATTATGAGTCTCTAAATACTAGTCTGTCTGAGCCACATGATGTGATTTGATTATATATCCTGTGTTGCCCATTTTATTTTCTTGTTAATAATTGTTTGTTTTCCTGTAATACATATTTGTCATCTACCCTATGCCCTTTGAGAGATGAAAGTGTTTATTATCATCATCATCATCATCATCATCATCATCATCATCATTTTAGAGAGACTCTTGTAGTGTAGCTCGGGGTGGCTTGGAGCTCGCTGTGGTCCTCAGCCTCCTAACTGCTGGGATTATAGCTCTGTGCCATCATGCCTGCTGCCACCTCTTCTCTTCCTCTTCGTCTGCTTTTATTATTTTGAATTATGTGCATGTGTCTCTTGAGTGTGGGTATGTGCATATAATGTCTTCTTCTGGCCTCCATGGGTGCCTGCACACATATGCACATACCGACACACAGAAACACACATATCCATGCCCCTGTTTTCCCTCCTTCTTTCCTCCTTCCCTGCTTCTGTCCTTTCCCAAACATGCATCCACACATCTCATCTTCTGCCATTCATCTCTTATCTTTGGTTGCTTTGTGCAGACATCTAGCTGGAAGTTTCATCCCTACTGGCTAGCTTCAGTAGTGCTGGAAGGTGCTATGCATACTACCACAGGAAAAAAGTAATCATCAATCTCACCTACGTGCAAACCATGCAGGCTACAATAACAATCTGCCTGGCAAGATATGCCCACTGATATGGGTAGTAGTATAAATGTTATGAAAGTAACCAACCACTTTTTACTTCGCTTTAAGGCCAGCTCATCAAGATGGAACTGAGCCCAGCACGGTGACACACACCTTTCATCTCAGTGCTCAAGAGGCAGAGGCAGGTGGGATTCTATGAGTTCAAGGCCAGTCTGATCTGCATAGGGAGTTCTAGGATAGCCAGGATTACATACAGAGACTGTCTCAAAAAAAAAAAAGGGGGGGTGGGCTAGGGAGGAAATCCATTCCTGACATTGTCAAGAAGGCCTCTGGTCTCTACACACAGTTACACATATGTATCCACATGCACACATTAATACACTCACACAAACACACAAAAATCAATAAATAAAAATTTTAAATTATCACAATAAATATATGAAATAATTGTAGTAACCCACAGAATCTAGAGGAGTTTCCAGAATGAAAGTGTCCAACGTAGCATATAAAAGACACGATTTGGGACACGTTGTCATATAATCTCAGAGAGCTAAAGATAACAGAAAGATATTAACAGTTTGTGAAGAAGAAAAAAAGAGCAGGAAACAAAGAAGGCTCCATCAAAACAAAAACAAAAAACCCCCGAGTATCTAAGAATACTTTCAGAACCATGAAAGAGAACAAGGAGCTGCATGTATTGTTCTCCAAGATGTCTTTTTTGTTGTTGTTGTTTTTGGAGACAGGGTTTCTCTGTGTAGCTTTGGTGCCTGTCCTGGAACTCACTCTGTAGCCCAGGCTCTGCCTCCCGAGCTGGGATTAAAGGCGTGCGCCACCACTACACAGCTCTAAGACGTCTTGATCTCAGTTTTCAACACCTATATCAGGCTTCTCTCAACCACTCACAACTCCAACTCCAGAGGATTCAACACCTTCTCCTGGCCTCTGAGGGCATCTTCATCATGAACACAAATGCACACAAGTGCAAACACATTCACATAGTTAAAATAATAATAATTTTAAAATGAAATCTTTTTTTTTTAAATGGAAGATAACAAGAGATTTTTGGCTATGCTATCTCTTTTTAAAATTACTTCCTGTACTTCATTATCTGAGAGTTAATCAAAATAACTAACCACAGAAGAGCAAGTCTTCGGTACAGGAAATAGAGTGTTTAAGACGAGAAAACAAGAATCCTTGATGGCAGAGTCAACTATAGTCTCAAGACAACAAAGCCCAGCAGATCTGCAGAATTTGTTCTTTTTTGTCTGTTTGTTTTTTGAGACAGGGTTTATTTATGTAGTGCTAGCTGTTCTGGAACTTGTTTTGTTGGTCAAGCTGGCCTTAAACTCACAGAGATGTCTGTCCCCTGAGTGCTCAGATTAAAGGTGTGCACCACCACTGCCCAGCAAAACACATTCTTTTTATATATATATATTTTATTTTACAATACCATTCAGTTCTACATATCAGCCATGGGTTCCCCTATTCTCCCCCCTCCCACCCCCTCCCCTTACCCCCAGCCTACCCTCCATTCCCATCTCCTCCAGGACAAGTCCTCCCCCGAGGACTGCGATCAACCTGGTAGACTCAGTCCAGGCAGGTCCAGTCCCTTCCTCCCAGACTGAGCCAAGCGTCCCTGCATAAGCTCCAGGTTTCAAACAGCCAACTCATGCAATGAGCACAGGACTTGGTCCCACTGCCTAGTTGCCTCCCAAACGGATCAAGCCAATCAACTGTCTCACCTATTCAGAGGGCCTGATCCAGCTGGGGGCCCCTCAGCCTTTGGTTCATAGTTCATGTGTTTCCATTCATTTGGCTATTTTTTTTCAATAATTGAGTAAAATTGAAATTTATTATAAGCCACAGTTGTCCTAGGGACCTCCATGCTATATATATAGCCTCTATGGTTCTATGGGTTGTGGTCTGATTGTTCTTTATTTTATATCTAGAATCCACCTATGAGTGAGTACATACCATGACTGTCTTTCTGGGTTTGGGTTACCTCACTCAGAAAACACATTCTTATTAGACCCAGAGAAACTAAGTTCCCAAGAAAAATGGCTTCCAGAAGGAAATGAAGGGAGGAGAGATAGCTCAGTGTTTGAGTGCCTGTTGATCCACCATAGGACCTGAGTTTGGTTCCCCTTGCACATATCAGTTGGCTCTAACTGCCTATAATTCGAATTCTGTGGGGCATCTGATGCCTCTGGCCTCCAAAGGCCCCAGTGCAGCGGCAGGGAACTGATGTGGGTCCTCTGCAACAGCACTGCACGCTTTTACCTGCTCAGTTGTTTCTCCCGTCCCCCGGTTCTTCCCTTTTGGTTTCCACTCATCCACCTGTTAGTGCTGCTTTCAAATCATGAGCCTTTCTGGACCATGTCAAATAGTCTTCACTACTTCTCCACCTGGCTTAGGCTTCTTCTGTGTATTGTCTGTGGAGTCTTTTATCACAGTGTGTCTCTTCCCTCTCTCTCTCTCTCTGTCCTTCTCTGTGTGGGTTGACGCCTCTTCCTTCTATACCTTTGTTCTGTCATCTTAGATTTCAGAGGATGTGGTGGTGGTGACCCCTGTTGTAAATTTCCCTTGCTGTAATCAAAAGTGCCTCTCCACTTCAGACCAAGTCCTACCATGTAGCCCAAGCCAGACTAAAACTCACAGTGCAGTTCGGCTGGGGTTTTCTATCTAGACTATCGAGATTAACAGTATTCTTCAGAGTTACCTGAAGACAGGTAACCCTGAACAAAACAGCATGGTGATTGAAAAATATTAAGGTAAGTCAGATCTGGCATATTATATGGGGTACAAAGATAGAAAGAGTTGACTAAATTTATCAGGTAAGTGTATGTCAAAAACCTTGTACTTGATAAGAATTTACCTTGTAAATCAGTTGGAGAATACTTGTTATTTTACAGTGTTCTGTTTTGAAAGTTCTTTATAAAAGGGAGCCACATCTGACTTACTTTTTTTAAGTAGCAGCCCTACCTTCTTAATATTTTTTAATGATCTTATAATGATCTAAATATTTATTTATTTATTTATTTTTTTTTTTAAAGATTTGTTTGTTTGTTTGTTTGTTTGTTTATTATGTATATAGTGTTCCTCCTGCATGTATGCTTACAGGCCAGAAGAGGGCACCAGATCTCATTACAGATGGCTCTGAGCCACCATGTGGTTGCTGGGAATTGAACTCAGGACTTCTGGAAGAACAGCCAGTGCTCTTAACCTCTGGGCCATCTCTCCAGCCCCAATGATCTAAATATTTAAATGAATGCATCTAAACATTGTTATCTCTCACATCCTTGTTATTGTTTTCCTATCAGCTTTTACAGGAAGCTGAAGTAATGAGAGAAAAAGTGAATGAACTCAATAAACAGAAAGTAAAATCTGAAGAATCCAAAGTACAGGCAGAGCAAGTTCTAAATGATAAAGACAATCAGATCAAGGTAAACGACCTTTTGGCTTTCGTGACTAGTTGACCACAATTTTACTTTTACTTGGAAATTCAAACACTTTTAACAGCTTTTATTGCTATTGGGTCTTTTTTCACATTTCAGGTGCTTTTTGATGATAGATTTGTAATATGTATGTTAATATTCCATGGATTGCCCTGTAGTATTTTAGCCTGGCATTTATCAATAAAGAAAGAAAATAATGACTTTTACCTTTTCTTGTTATACTGACATCCACTGCTATTGGTTAAGAAATTGGGTTTATAGTTTATATGTATTGGCTGAATAGTCTTTGTATCTCTACCAAATTTGTGATACTTGTTTTGTTGATACAAAAGCTTTTTAAAAAATTGAAACTCAGGCTGGGGAGATGGCTCACTGGATAAATCAGATGTTTCATAAGCCCAATGATGTGAGTTCAGCTCCCCAGAGCCCTAAAAGCTGATTATAGTAGCATAGTAAGTATCTAATGCCAGTGCTGTGTGGTAGAGAGAGGGAGACAAAGTCTGGACTCTATGGAAGTTTGAGGCGTGGAGAGACCTGTCTCAAACAAGGTAGAAAGGAATGGACTGACCCCAAAGCTTGTCTTCTGATCTCTGTAGGTTTGTTGTGCTGTGTATACCTGAACCCATATATACCCATACATATGGCTCTCGGGTCACGCACACATACACTAACTGGAACTTGACTCTAATTATAGGAATAAAATAATTGACATTACGTAGGCCATTGAGAGCACTCTGGGTAAAAGCACTTGCTGTACAGTCCTGACAATCTTGAGTTCATTTGATTCTTAGGACTCACATTGTGGAAGGAGAGAATTGACTCTCATAAATTGCCCTCTGACCTTCCTGTATATGCCGTGACACATATGTTGTTCCCTACCTAGATAAATAAATGTAAAAAATAATAAAGATGGGGCTAGAGTGATGGCTCAGCAGTTAAGAGCACTGGCTGTTCTTCCAAAGGACCTCAGTTCAATTCCCAGCACCCACATGGTGGCTCACAACTATCTGTAATGAGATCTGGTGCCCTCTTCTGGCCTGCAGGGATATATGCAAGTAGAACACTGTATACATAATAAATAAATAAATCTTTAAAAAAAATAATAAAGATGTTTTCAAGAGATTCTAGCCTTAGTTTTATTTACAGTTTGCCATATAGTTGACTCTCTGTATCTCTCTGAATTCAACCAATCACAGAGCGGTGCCCTTAACAATTTTGGGCTGACAAGAGGGTTTATTGAGTGAAAGTGCCTGCCTCATAAACCTGATGACCTGAGTTTGATCCCCAAACCACATAAAATAAAAGGAGCAAACCACCTGACTTTTGTTGTCCTCTGACTTCATGTGCTTGCCCTACTTACCTAATGTGCAGACATACCAAAACAAACACTAATAATAACTAGAAGAAAAACATTGCATCTATACTGTGCACATAGACTTTCCCCGCCATTCCCTGAACGATACAGTAAAGCAGCTGTTAATGTAGCATCTGTGCTGTATTAGTTATTATAAGTAATCTGGAAGCGGTTTGATGTCTATAGGAAGATACATACAGGTTATATGCAGGTACTGTTATTTTATGTAAAGGGACTGAGCACCCATGGAGTTTGTGTCCACGCAGTGGTAGTGGCAGGCATCCTGGAGCCGGTGCTCTGGATGCGGAGGGATGACTGTACTTCTCTAAACTTCCTTCTTCTACTTAAGAAGCTTACGATTCTTCCTAAATAGAAAAGGAATGGGATGTGAACCCTCAGCACTGCTCAGAGCTGGAGGGCATTTTATTTGTGCCAGAAACCTTGAAGGAAGGGAAGAGATTAGCAAGTAGTTTTAGATGGCCCTTGCAGAGAAATGCATGGTGCATAGTCATCTTGTTACTTGGTTGGTTTTGGCCAATAAGCTCAGACGAAACACTAACCTATGTTACTAGAAAGTGTTCCTTACTTCAGAAGGTTAAAAAAACGTTGCTGAGCCGGGCATGGTGGCGCACGCCTTTAATCCCAGCAGGTGGGTCTCTGAGCTCCAGGCTAGCCAGGGCTACATGGAGACTGTCTGAACACCAACAACAAACGCTGTTGGAGAACTTGCAGTGCTCCATTGAGATTCTCTTACAGTGTGTCTTTGTCTTAGTCGAACTCTTCAGCTAGTTATTTATTTGAATAAATCAAGAATCTATGGCTTATTTTTTTTGTGGGTATATGCATGTGAGTTTCATTGCCCTGGGGGAGCAGAGTGTTGGGTTCCCTGTAGCTGAGGTTACAGGTAATTGTGAGCTGCTGGGTGTGGGTGCTGGGAATTGAATTGAATTTGGGCCTTCTGCAAGAGTAATAGCTGCTCTTCAGTGCTGAGCCATCTCCCTAGCCAGAGATGTTAATTTTTTTTTACTTGTGTATATTTGTATGTGCCTGTGGGTGGGTATGTGCATATGAGTGCAGTGCCTGTGCTGGGGGCTGTGATTTTTTTTAAAAATAGATTTTGTGTCTCTCAGAGATTAATATCACACAACTTTTACCCCCATTTGTTAATGACCATTCTTTTAATTTTTGTTTGTTTGTTTTTTTAAAAGATAGGTTTTTTCTGTGTACTTTTGGTACCTGTCCTGAAAGTCACTCTGTAGTCCAGGCTGGCCTCGAACTCACAGAGATCCTCCTGGCTCTTCCTCCTCAATGCTGGGATCAAAGGTGTGTGCCACCACCGCCTGGCTTACTTTTAATTTTTTTTTTTAAACTTCTGAGTTTCTGTATTTGTGTATGTCAGTGTGTCAGTGTCACGTGTGCAAAGGACAGAAGAGGCCATTGGGTTTCCCAGAGCTGGAGTTACACATGGTTGTGAGCCGCCCGATGTGCGTGCTGGGAAATGAGCTTAGATCCTTTAGCAGAGTAACAAGTTCCTAACCGCTGAGCCATCTCTCCAGTCCAACTCTTACTTAGTAAGACGTGTAAGAAAGTCATAAGAAAATACTTTTGGTGTAGTGGCATAGTGATTCTATGAGAGGTTCTGTCTCCAGGCAACAAGCTAGAGTGTGATAGAGGAAGACACTTCCGGTGTCCCACTTCCTGCTCTTTCAGCCACATGTGCACCTACGTACTCAAGTGCATATGATACACACAAAAGAAAAGACAATACTTTACTGTTTTGTAATCATATAGTGTGGTTAGCAAAAATGAACCATTATAAAATATTGTGTTTGATTTAGTTTTCTCTTCTTTCTTTTTTCTTGGAATACAACGTCTCACGAAGTAGCCCTAGCTTTCCAGAACTCACTTTGTAGACTAGGATGGCCTCAAACTCACAGAGATCTGCCTGCCTCTGCCTTTTGAGTGCTGGGATTAAAGATGTTGTACCATGCTCGGCAAGTTTTGTCTTTTATTTTTTAGGGTTTAATAGTCAATAAACGTTGCAGTTAAAAAAACCCAACAAATATTTTCGTTAAGATATGTTAAGATATAGCAGGTAGAAAATTAGAGCTCATGAGGAATTATTTATATAGATTGATTTAATTTTTTTTTTATTGTATCTTAAAATTTATTTGTGGACTGGGCGGTGGTGGTGCATGCCTTTAATCCCAGCACTTGGAGGCAGAGCCAGGCGGATCTTTGTGAGTTCAAGGCCAGCCTGGTCTATGGAGCGAGATCCAGGAAAGGCACAAAGCTACACAGAGAAACCCTGTCTCGGAAAAAAAAAAACCAAAAAAACCCACTTATTTGTGTCTGTATGTGTGGGGTATGTGCACACCATGATGTGTGTGCAGAGTTCAGAGGACAGCTTTTGGGTGGCAGTTCTACCGTGTAGGTCTTGGGGTTCAACGCAGGTCATCAGGCTTAGTGGCCGATGCCTTTACCTGCCGTCTCATTGGCCGGGATTGAATTGTAAGCTACTGTGCAGTCCGACATTGAACAGCTGGTAGCCTGAGTCGTTACTTCTCTTTGTTCCCCCTTTTGCTCACTGTCCAGTCTCTGGTGGAGAGCCTGCTAAAGACGGAGGTTTGGACTGCTGTGTTTGGAGAACATGTAGCAGATGACGGTAATCTGGATTGGGAGGTGAAGAGTGACCTAGAAAACGATGCTCACTTAGGTATGGTGACTGCTCCCTTGCTTCCTCTTCATTCCGCATGTGTGCTGTGCTCCTCGTACCCTTGTACTTGGCACGTTCTGTCCATCTGCCCGAAATGCCGTGCCCTTAACCACCTCACGTAGCTAGACTTTTCTAGTAAATCCTTTTTCTCCTCTTCAGAGTTGCAGCCTCCTCTCCCTTGTCCTGTGTATCATACATCTCTTCATGACCACAACTTCAAAATTGTAACCACTCTGGTGCCTGTCTTTACTGTGAATCATATGAGTGACAGAATAACTAATTCCTGAAGCCCTTTGCTCTAGACAGATTATAGTACTTTAATCTTGGCCACCACAAATTGTTACTGCTGTTGCTGGATATATTATGACAGTCACAAAACTAAGGTTCATTTAGTTATTTACTGTATTTCCAAACTCAGAGACGCTCCTGCCTCTGCCTCCCAAGTGCTGGGATTAAAGGTGTGCGCCACCACCGCCCGGCTCCAATGGTGATTCTTGGACTTTGTGTCCTCTCTCTTGGCTCCCTGACGTGCTGTATAAATAGTAGACTTCTTATACCCACAGAGCATAGTTTTCAAGTTGTCTAATAGGGCCTGAAACTGGTAGGCCGTGCTGAGTGAACTCTCTGTGTACTGTGCCCTCCCCTGTCCTTACATACAGTAAGAGACGAGAGCAACAATAACAAAACAGGATAGTTATTACAATATACTGTTAGGAAGTGATGGGAGTGTGGCTTCTTCCCATCCCAGTGCTGGAACAGATTGTCTAATGGAGATGGCTGAGTGATGAGTAGTGAACAGATCCTGGGTGGGCGCGTCTCGGCGGAAAGCAGTAGGATGGGGGAGATGTCCTCATGCTGCCCAGGACCGCATGCCATATACAAGTTAGGAGCTGTGTGCTCTAAAGTAGTTACCATCCAAGACATGGATGATAGATGACAGGACAAAGGAGGAGGAGGCTGCAGCTCTGAAGAGGTGAAGAAAGCTTTACTTGAAAGTCTAGCTGTGGGAGTGCTGAGAGTGCAGGGCATTTCAGGCAGACGGACAGACTGCCACTAGAACAGATGAGGGGAACTGTGATAAAGCTACATTTGCAGTTTTTCATTTTTACTTTATCCTGTAAGAAGTAGTTTTCTCACAGAATTTATGCTGAATATTACTTAATTTGGAGCGATGCATCACTCATACTTTGGATGCTGTAATGCCTTAAGTATCTAAGCATGGTTAAGTGTGTGGCCAAGTGTTGAGGTGAAGATTCAGTTCTTGTTGGGACTCTGTGGTACTTTGATTGCTTGTAATGTCTAGCTTCCTAAGAGTAGGTCACTCTACCTTATACAAATTATTATTTTTTATTTTAATTAGTTTTTCTGAGGAAGTGTCTCACTGTAGCTCAAGCTGGCCTGGAATTCACTGTGTAGCCCCTTCTGGCCTCACTTATGGTAATCCCCATGTCTCAGCTTTGGAGTGTTCAGCACCTCAGCTCCAGACTGTTTATTGTGGCAAGAAGAGGGGTGGTAGGACTAGCTGAGGAACTACTGCATTCGTTTGGATGCCTTCAATAACATGGTTTTATTTTTCCCTGTAGATAATCAGCCCACGGGAGCTTTGAAGAAGCTGATTTATGCTGTTAAGGTTTGTATTATTATGTACTATAAAGAGGAGGTGGAGGACCTATAGCAGGGATTCAGTCTAGTTGTCTTTAGTAACTAACCGAAGATCACTTTTATCTTTTCCTTATAAGGTTATATGAGAAGTGATTCAAATTTTTTTGATTTAATTAATTTATTTGCATTGGTGTTTTGCCAGCATGTATGTCTGTGTGAGGGTGTTGAATCCTCTGGTAGTCGAGGTCCAGACTGTTGTGAGCTGCCATGTGGGTGCTGGGAATCAAACCAGGTCCTCTGGAAGAGCAGCCAGTGCTCTTAACTTAGCCATCCCTCCAGCCCCTAGAATTTACTTTATCAATTGCTTTTTTATAGTAACTGTAGAAATTCACATAATTAGAGAATTTAGAAAAGTTCAAAATTGTACCCTCATTCCTTCAGTTAAAAATACTTTAAAAATGTTTACTGTATTTATTTCATAGTTCCCATTGTGCAGTGTTTTCCTGCTGCTTCTGTTACTTTGTTTTCTTCTGGTTTGTTCCTTCCGCCTGTTCTTAGCTAACCTGTGTGAGAAGTCCTGATAATGTAGTGTGAAGGCTGCTTTACAGCAGCTGCATTGATGGCTTTATGTTTATGATGGCATCATCAGAGGAGAAGCAGCTGCAGAGAGTGTGGGGTGTATCGGGAGATGGGTGTGGATTTTATGTAACCTTATTATTGTTTTTTCCCCCTTCTCCCCTTCTTTAAAGTTAAATGCTTCTTTAAAAGCCTTAGAAGGAGAAAGAAACCAAATTTACACTCAGTTATCTGAAGTAGATAAAACAAAGGAGGATCTTACAGGTAAGGTTTCCTCAATGAGTATGTTTCCTTAAGGAGAATGAATTACTTCTGAGTTTTATTGTTTTTGGTAAAGGCATATCAATTTTCTTACACTTACGAAATAATTTTTAAGGCATGTAGAACTGTGGATTATGGTCTGTCTTAGTCAGTGTTCTATTGCTATGAAGAGACACCATGACCATGGCAACTCTTATAAGGAAAACATTTAATTGGGGCGTGCTTACAGTTCAGAGTTTTAGTGCCAATAAACTATACACATACATTAAAGCAGAGGACCATACCAGTTCCACTACTGAAGATCAATTTCACAGTTGCCATTGTCATCATGGTGGGAAGCATGGTGGCACAGGCAGATGTGGATCCGCAGGCAGCAGGAAGAGAGAGCGACACTGGGTCAGGCTTAGCATTTGAAACCTCAAAGCCTCCAGTGACTGACACATGACACACTTCCTCCAACAAGGCCACACCTACTCCAACAGAGCCACACCTCTGAATGGTGCCACCCCCTGTGTGCCTATGGGGCCATTTTCATTCAAACCACCACACAGTGTTATATGTGTCCACACAGTGTTACATGTGTAGTATAGTTTTAGATGTTTGAAAGTATCAAATTGAAATTTTTCTTTGCAATTTTTTTTTTCAATTGAGAAATTGATCTTCAGTAGTGGAACTAGTCTGGTCTACTACTTTATGTGTATGGCTTATTAACATGTATAGGAGTGATGTCAGACCTATCAAAATAAGTTTTTTTTATTGAGAGCATTAAAACAACTTGCTCATAGTGTTCATATTGAAAAATAAGTTCTTCCAGTTGTGTTTGGGATGTTTAAAAAGTTAGTATATCATGTCTCATTTTATTAAATAAATAAATTCATATTTTTATATCTGAAAAGAATAGATGGACATATTCAAATGTCTGAACTGGTTAACTCAGAGTATAGGACCACAGGCATCTTTTTATTTTCTTTCTACCCATCTTTATTTTCTTTCCTTTTTGATTTCCAAAACAGTCTTTTTTTTGGAGCTGAGGATTGAACCCAAGGCCTTGTGCTTGCTAGGCAAGTGCTCTACCACTGAGCTAAATCCCCAACCCCTCCAAAACAGTCTTTATTGATCCAGTTACATGTGCATAAATCATGAAGCATTAGCCAAAAGCTTCTGCTTACAGAGCTTTGTTTCTGCCCTTCAGGTCCTTGCCCTGCCTGTTTGCAACTACAGACCAATGAGCACAGACAAGGGCCCCTTTATTAGTTGCACAGCTAAAAGCAAACAAATCAGAAACAAACAAAAAATCCTCTCAATGAGGACAAGAAAGAGATGCCCCAAGTATGTCAGCCATTGCTGCAGCTGCCCAGAACTTGACATTTCTCTCTTTAATCCTCAACTTCTCCTGCCTTACAAAGAGCAGTCAGACCTGTATGAGTCTGGACCTGTGCTCTGTGCTGGACGACATCGTTGTGAGACCAGCTTCAGTGTCCTCTTTCTTCTTTATGACCTCCACGGCCAGTGTTGAGATCAGAGGAGAACTGGACCAGAGCGGTCCTTGTCAATTTGCTTTTTTAAATGAGCAAACTGTATAAAAAGATTGAACTATACTGGATAGAAATTGCTCTACTCAATGGTTATAGTAGTTGAATTTTGATTAGACCTGAAAAACATTAGTCTAACTTAAAAAGAAAAAAGAAAAGCTGCTGTCTGCAAAGAGCAGTATTAGCAGCGTGGAAGCTGCACAGAGGACTAGGACTGTCCTCAAGGCAGCTTCACTGTGGCTGTGTTGACACTTGTGTGTCTTAGTGGGAGCTGCCGGAGCAGCAAGGACCAGTTCTCCAGCTAGTCCATTGCTTCCTCCGGGCTCTTGGCCAGTCTTTCCCCAGTAATAGTGGAGACCCAGGACTGTGTGTAGTGTTCCTCCAGATCCAAGTTTCTTTTCTCAGAGGGTCATAAGATTTTTCAATTTCTGTTGTATGTGAACATCTTCTTCTAACGGTCTCTCTCCTCCTCTAGTCTCTGCCCTTTTTGGTGATCATTTACAATGCTCTCCTTTTGGAGTCAGTGTTTCTATGTAACCCCAGGTCGTCTTGAAGTCCTGACCCTTCTGCCTCAACCTCCCACATGCTGGCATTTATATAGGCTCATAATTACCATACCTGGCTGTATAGTACTCCCTTAAAGTATGTGGGCTGGCGAGATGGCTCAGTGCAGAAAAGCCCTTTCTGCTGAGCCTGATGACCAGAATTCACTCCACAGTGGAAGGAGAGAACTGAGCCCTGCTAGTTGTCCTCTGACCTTTGCCTCCCTGAGCATGCAGATGCACCAGCACACACAGACACACACACACACAGACACACACACACTCACACACACACACTCACACACACATATACATACTAATTTTTAAAAGTTTTAAAAATAAGTATGAGACAAAAGAGCTAGAGTGTATAATGGTAAAAGAATTTGCCGGGCGGTGGTGGCGCACGCCTTTAATCCCAGCACTCGGGAGGCAGAGCCAGGCGGATCTCTGTGAGTTCGAGGCCAGCCTGGGCTACCAAGTGAGTTCCAGGAAAGGCGCAAAGCTACACAGAGAAACCCTGTCTCGAAAAAAACAAAAAAAACAAAAAAAAAAAAAAAAAAAAAAACAAAAAAAAAAAAAAGAATTTCTGTTGTTTTGTAAGGCTTTGTATGATTCAGTTCCAGTAGAGCTTAGATCCAACATTGATTTCTTTGCTAAGTAACTTGTTGGCGTTGACTGACAGCATAGATGGACATTTTTTTCCTGATATAGATGTAAAATTTTTGCAGAAAACGTCTATACACTATTTCCTGTACATGTACCATTTACTATTAAGGTGTTTACGTAAATGGTTCTTTTGGTATGTATGTTTAATTAACTGGTGTTTTAGAATAATTACATACCATTACATTTAATTAATAAACTTTTCCATGTTTGTTAAGCTTGTGAAACTGCCCTTTTGAGGCATAGTGCATTTCTTCTTATGTTAGATTGATTGAGATGTTTTGGGAAATGATGCTTTAGAGGAATTCAGAGTTGAGGTTCTCTTCTTGGTCCCTTAATATTAGAGCTGTTTAGAGTTGTAGTAATTATAATGAAAGAAAAATGAATTTTTTAAAAAACAGCTGTATGCTAGTTTATACAGAATTCACAATTACGTAGAATTGTTCATTTCTCTCTCTCTCTCTGTGTGTGTGTGTGTGTGTGTGTGTGTGTCTGTCTGTCTGTGTCTGTGTTCGTATGTGTGTATAGAGGACAAGGATCAATGCTCAGTGTTTTCTTCACTTGCTTTCCACCTTGTTTGTTGAGAAAACGTCTCTCAGCAAACCTGGAGTGTGTTAATCTGGCTACAACAGCTGCCCAGGGAGCCCCGGGGACCCTGCTTTTGCCTCCCCAGTACTGTAACAGGGCTTCGGGCTTGTTTTGCTAACCAGCTTTTATGGGGTCAGCATGTTTGTGTGGCCAGCACTTTACTGACTGAGCCGTCTCCCCATTTTTGCGGGTGATTCGGTAGTTGAGCAGTTGAAGTAAAGTTAAAGTCATTTTTCTTTCCAGTCTTAGTCTTGTCTGAGACACGGTCTCTCTCTAAACTGGAAAATGAGCATTTGTTATCAGCTAGCTTGAATGACAACATATGTAAAATTTTGGCTTAAACAGAAGATGGGGTAATTATGGTACTGGTGATCGAACTTTGTGTGTTCTAGGCCAGGGCTCTACCACTCAGCTTTGTCCACCAGCCTGAACAGCAAAGCTCCTGAGGTGACTTCTCCTTAGGCTGTAACAGACATTCAGCTGAAATGCCCGCCTCTGAAACACTCATCCTTATGGCCTTCCTCCAGTGGCTGTTCCTTCTCAAGTTGAAAGTCAGAATTAGAATGTTGGAAGTTTGAGAGATCTTCATAATAATCATACTAGCAATTTAAAATAGTGTATGTAGCATCTTAGTTAAAATAGTAAAAAGCAATGAGGCAAATGAAATATCGTAGAGATTTTGTACTGCTGCTGAAGAATGTTTGGTTTGCTATTATCTGTAGTAATTGTCTACAGCTGTCTCACCCCGGGCACGCCCAATCTTGTCTGTCTTTGATAGGTTTTATTTTTATGAAATTCCTTTAGTTTTGTTCCGTTATGACTTTGAACATTTCTCTAGAGCGTATCAGAAGTCTGGAATCTGAGCAGGAGTCTTTGCCGTCAGAAATCACAGAGTTTGAAAACGAGAAACAGAAGCTTCAGCAGAAACTCCAAGTGATGACTGAGCTGTACCAAGAAAACGAAATGAAGCTTCACAGGTGAGAAGTGTTGGGTAACTCCACTGAATGGCAAGTAAAATGTCTTTAAAGATTGTGTTACATATTCAAGGCCTTAAACATGTGATTATTAGACATGATCCGTTATATTGCATCATTCACTTTTCAGAACGTTATTTGATCTTGAAGCACACTTTTCTTCTCTGAAGAATATGTAAATAATGTTGGAATGTCCAAGCAATCTCACAAAATCGTCCTTAATGTTAGTAAGCATTTATCAAATTATTGCCTTGAACCAATGCTGACAGCCGGGTCAGGGAATCTTGAGTGGTCTCTTTGGATGGAGCTGCCTGGCGTATGTAGAACTGATTCCTTTCCCCTGTGCTCTTTGCTCTAGTTAGTCAATGACAGTATCATTTGCCTTGTGTGCAGGGCAGCTGCTTGTCATCCTTAAATGCCCCTTTTGTATCCTGTATTTGTCTTCTCATCAGGTCTTGTCAGTCTCCCTAACTGTAATCTGATGGCATTTCACCCTCTTCCAGAACTCTGCTTAAAGCCATTATGGCCATAGTTGGCTTATTACCGTAGCTTCATGAATGTCTTTACACCTTAACCTCCTGCACTGTCTTTTCTCTGTAATCACAGAATAACTCTAAAAAAATGAATTATGGATACTGTCATGGTCTCTCTTGGGCCCCCTAAGTGCATTTAAAGAGATTTAAAGCAAAACTTAATCTTAGCCTATCAGAGCCAAGCTTACAGCACCCGCCTTCTGGCTGTCTCTAGCCTATTCTGTGTCTTGTTTCTTTGTTGCTCTCCATTGACACGGCTTTCTTGATTTTTGGTGTGCCAAGCACATCTGTATCTCAAAGTCTTTGATGCCTGTTCCTTTGGCTTGCAGTGGCTGGTGTATTCCTATGTGTTTGCATGGTTCGATCCTTCGTTTAGTTTGGGATGACAGGTTTAACTGTCATCTTAAAGAGGGCTGCCCCAACTCAAGCAATGCCTGCTCTTCTGTTCCCTTCTCTTTTTGTGCTCCAAACATGCTCTCCTTCACCTCACACTGAACTTGAACTCTGTAAGAAATGCTGTGTTTTTGTTTATATTCCCAGTGCCTCAGCTGAGAGGAAAATGGTAGGTTTCCTACAGATAAATATGCGCAGTGCACTTAAATCTTGATGTTAGGGTGTGCTTGTGCATAGAAATGCCCAGATATAGGTAGAGAGAAGACCCTTAAGTCACTGATCCAGCAATTTGCAGATTTTCAAGTACGAATTATAGCCTAGATTTTTCATTATACAACCCAGCAGATTTGCCTTTTTCTTGAGGAAGTTAATGATTTAAGTCCTTATCCATCATACATTCTGGATGTAAAGTTGGTCTGTTGATAAAATTTGTTTATAACCTTAAAGCCTGTTCTTACAGAGCTTTCATGGCCTTTCATGCTGAGAATGGTAAAGATTCTGAGATGCCCAGTGTGAGCACTCCCAGTTGAGGACTAACACAGCAACTTCTTTCAGTTCTCATTCTATAAACAAGTGTTCTTCTCTGAGTGCCACATCTTTTGAGAACTGTTTATTTGGTGACTTAGCTATTCAAATAGACCCCAAGCACATGCGTGAGTGCTGTCAGGTGGGTCCCTGAGGGTGAGAAGGCCATGAGATATTTTGTGGAGAAAATACGATGTATCAGGTAAACTTCATTTTGTCATAACTTACAGTGCTGTTGGCTGTAAGTTTAATGCTAGGAAATCTACAAGATATGTTAAATAAGGCATCTTATTTTGTTCAAGGCTGTTTCATGTAGTCCATGCTGGCTTGACCTTAATACACAATCAGCTATGGCCTTTAACTTCTGATCTTTCTGCTTCCACTTCCCAAGTGCTTGGAACAGGTGTTTGCTGCCATTGTAGTTTTTATTTATTCATTTTTTAAAAAAAATATTTACTATTTTAAATTATGTGTATGTGTGTGGGTCTGTGCACGTGAGTGCTGGTACCTGCAGAAGTCAGAAGTGTTGGATTCCCCTGGAACTGTATGTAGTTACAGACAACTGTGAATTGCCATGCGGATGCTGGGAATTGAACCTGGGTTGTCTGGAAGAGCAGCCAGTGCTCTTAACTACTGAGCCATCTTTCCAGCCCCTCAGCCTTCTTTCTTATACAACCCAGGGGGTGGTACCACTTGTAGTGGGTGGGGACCCTCCTACATCAAACATTCATCAAAAGAATGCCCCATAGGCTTGACTACAGCCTAGTCTTGTGAGGTATTTTCTCAGTTGAGGTCCCCCCCCCCTTTTTTTTTGTTTTTTTGAGACAAGGTTTCTCTGTGTAGTTTTGGTGCCTGTCCTGGATCTCTGTAGACCAGGCTGGCCTCGAACTCACAGAGATCCAACTGGCTCTGCCTCCCGAGTGCTGGGATCAAAGGCATGTGCCACCACTGCCCGGCGAGCTTCCCTTTTTCCAAATTGCTGTAGTTTGTGAGAAGTTGGCTCAACCATTTTGAATCCCCAAACCTTACATGCTCTGTTCTGAAGGCACTCACTACTCTGAATTACGTCACCAGGTGTTCTTCAGGGTAGGACGTAGGGAGTAGGAAGTTGGAGAACTGCTGAATTGTTAGACGACTAATTCTTGCCTGTGTAGGGTATAATTTAGGTTCAGTTATTTTCTAGATTTCTTTTGTTGTTGTTGTTCAGTTTTCTCTTAATGTTTTTCATAACTGATATACTATGTTGCTTACACTTTTTGAAGTTCAATATTGGAAGGAAGTGAAATATTAGAATATAGGAGTTCAGTGTGCTGTTTTAAATATGTGACTTCCCTTTGAGGCTCCATCAGTGGGGTTTACTTTCACAGTATAATTTTAACTGTATTGGTTACTCTTCTGTTGCTGTGATAAAACACTATGACGAAAAACTAAACAAACGAAGTAACAAAACAAAACCCTAAAATCAGAAACACTGTGATCAAGGCACCTTGTAGAAGGGAGAGCTTACTTTCTCTCATACAGTTCAAAGAGAGAGCTTGTGCTGGTGAGGGAGCTTGGGCAGGTTCTTGGAGCAGGAAGCTGAGAGGTCATAACCTGAGCTTGAAGAAGAGGGAGAAAACCGGAAGTAGGGCGAGGCGATGTGCTCCCAGTGACGGTCGTGTGACATGTAATGACATGTTGATGAACTGTGAGCCACAGATATGGTGCTCTCCTGACAGTGCCACCCACTGATTCTTGGCCATCTTGGTTTGTGTAGGCACACTCGGACGTCCACAGAGTGATGAAATGGCTTGTGGGTTCATGTCTCAGAGACCTGTTGTTACATGGTATATGCCTGTATCTGGCTTCTCTGTGCTGTATTTTCATTTTTGGGCAAGGGAGATAATAGTCGCTTCTGTAGAGCTGCTGACTAGTTAAATAGCTCACACAAAAGTCTAGCAACAGTTCTGGCACACGCTAATGGTTCAGTGGGTTACCTGTTACCTACTATTAGTACAAAAAAAATTAGTGCAGGATTAGTGCTGGTGCTCATATTATTTATTATTATTATTAACTACCAATTAAAATTATAGGGGCTGCACACCTTTAATCTTAGTACTCAAGAAGCAGAGGCAGGAGGATCTTTGTGAACTAGAGGCTAGCCTGGTCTACAGAGTGAGTTCCAGGTCTACATTGTGAGACAAACAAACAAACAAAACAACAACCCTAGGTACACGCCTTTAATCCCAGCACCGGGGAGGCAGTGGCAGGTGGATCTCTGTGATTTCAAGGCCAGCCTGATCTACAAAGTGAGTTCCAGGACAGCCAGGGCTGTTACACATAGAAACCCTGTCTCAAAAAACCAAAGCAAAAAAATAAATAAATAAATAAATAAATCCATAATTTTAGTTGTTGGTTTCTTGTTTACAAACATAATGCTTTATTACAGAAAACCTTGATAAATGATAGTCTTTACTGTTTTTATTAATATTTATCATGGACAAATTACGATAACGTAAAACACATGAGACTGTTAATACCAATAGCACTGTAATGAACACTGTGATCTTGGGTTTATAATGCTAAATTTCATATCAGAAATATACAGACTTTTTTTGCATATGACCTTTGCAGTGGTGTATGGAAATTGCTTTGTGGGGTGCACCAGTTCCGATGTGATTTTAAAAATGTAGTTGATTATATGTATGACATAATTTAAAAGAAATAAAATACTCTTTGTTTTAAGGAAATTAACAGTAGAAGAAAATTACCGATTAGAGAAAGAGAAAAAACTTTCCAAAGTAAAGGAGAAGATCAGCTATGCGGCCGAGGAGCTGGAGACCTGCAGGTATGAAGTGCTCTTTCTCTTGGGGATGCTGAGCACCAGCAGGAACAGTGACAAAATGGCCATCCTGGATCTCACTCTGTAGACCAGGCTGGCCTCGATCTCACAGAGATCCACCTGCCTCTGCCTCCCGAGTGCTGGGACTAAAGGTGTGTGCCACCACCACCCAGTGAATTGGCTTATTTTTATTTCATTACTTTGCATTTGAATATCTTGGTATTTTGCAGATATTCAGAAATATAAAAACTAAAAAGTTTTCTTGGGGCTGGAGAGATGGCTCAGTGGTTAAGAGCATTGTCTGCTCTTCTTGAGGTCCTGAGTTCAATTCCCAGCAACCACATGGTGGCTCACAACCAGCTGTAATGAGATCTGGTGCCCTCTTCTTCTGGCTTGCAGACAGAACACTGTGTACATAATAAATCTTAAAAAAAAAAAAGTTTTCTTTTCGGGGACTTTGATATTTAAGTACAGACATATTTTATAATAATACCAAGAGGTTTGTAAATAGTTATGAATGCTGTGTGTGGTGGCACTGGGAGGTGGAACAGAATGATCACAAGATTAAGGCTAACCCTGGCTAAATAGTGAGTTTGAAGCCAACTTGGGTTACATGAGACCCTGTCTCAAGAAGAAAACGGAGAGAGCAGCTAATTCAGGTTCCTTGGGTTTTGTTCAAAGGGGAAGAACGTACACAGTATTAACATTCAGTGAGTGTGCCCCTGAAGAGCAAGGCACACAGCATTTTAGTAGTAAATGCTTAGCTGTATAGTTTTTGGTAACACTAGAATGTCTGTTAGAGGAGACACAGAAGCTCGAGTCTCAGGAACATTCTTTACCTTGGGAAGAGGTTTTGTCTAGAAGGACAAATGATTTTCTTTGTAAGTTATGTTTTTATCTTGTAAGAGTTCCTCTCCTGAGCTGGGTGGTGGTGGTGCATGCCTTTATCCCAGCACTATGGATGGAAGAGGCAGGTGGAGCTCTGTGAGTTCAAGGCCAGTCTGGTCTACAGAGTGAGTTCCAGGGCAGCCAGGGCTACACAGAAAAACCCTGACTTGAAGAATGAATGAATGAATGAGTGAGTGAGTGAGTGAGTGAGTGAATGAATGAGTGAATGAATGAGTGAATAAATACACAGAAAAGCCCTGACTTGAAGAATGAATGAATGAATGAATGAATAAATAAATAAATAAGTAAATAAATAAATAAATAAATAGTTCCTTTCTTGGGACTCTGTTAAGATTACAGGATCTGAGTTACTCTTTCAGGATTTTTCTTTCTGAAAAAGAAAACCAGAGGATCAGGCATGGTGGCATGTACTTGTGACTCCTGCACTTAGGATGTAGAGATAGGAAGATTATAACTAAGCTTGAGGCCAGGCTGGGTGAGACCTTGTGTATTGTATAAATCCTTTGTGATGTTGTTTTATCCACACCCAAGCAATAGTACTCACAAGGTTTGATTGAGGTTAGAATTAGAGGAAGAAAGGATGTACTTTAAAATCTCTCAGCATCTCTCAAAGACAAGTCTTGGGGTTATACTTAAAATAAGGTAGAACACTCTGTATTCTTATAGCCATGTGCTCATTCCTTATATATTACTACAGTGGAATTACTAACTACTTGTTTCTTATAGACAGCGCGCCAAGGATCTGGAAGAAGAACTGGAGAGAACAATTCACTCTTACCAAGGGCAGGTATGTGTGAGGCTGCTGTGTGCACACAATAGAGCACTCGGGCTCTAGAACAGCCGCGGGACTGTAGCTTCCATCCCTGCTGAAGTGTTCCTGAAACTGTGGAATATTCCCAGGGAGCCAAAGATGCTGAAGTCAAAAAATTCTGAAACTTTTCTGTCTTTGGGAACGAGGATTATGTAGTCTCCAAAAATGTCTCTCGCCATTGCAGTCCCATATTGTGCTTGTTATCTGTTCCTTGGAAACTCTTGTAGTTGATCATTACATGAGGTGTGTTGGCATTAAAAAAGTTTACATTCAGTTTTTGTTTAAAAGTTCAGTAGAGTAGATCATACATATTCATGAAGGATGCTTTCAGAATGCTTATAGTGTTTCAGAGATGCCTGGACAGTTCGAGTTTATGGTTTGTGCCTTAAATTTTAGTGGTGGGAATGAATGTTTTTATTTAAAAATAATTTTAATCATTTTATTTTTTAGGTTATAGCTCATGAAAAAAAAGCACATGATAATTGGGTAAGTTTTAAGTTCACCTAAAGCCCTTTTGTCAAATTTCTTCCAGAAAATATACTACTCATTTTAGATTAGATAAAAATAGAGACAGTATTTAAGAAATAATCACTTTCTATTAATTTAATTAATTTTACCAGTAATGAAATCATGTTACAAATCATACCATAGGAGGCACTAAGAAGTAATCATCTTTTATTTTATATTTTTCATTCTGAATACAATTAGTTAAAAAATCACAAAGGAATTCTGGGGGTTGGAGAAATGGCTCTGTGGTTAAGAGCACTTGCTGCGCTTCTAGAGGACCTGACGTGCGTTTGGTTCTGAGCGCGTCAGATCGCGCACAGGTGCCTGTAATTTTAGTTCCAGGTGATTTGACACCCTCTGCTGTCCTCTTACACACACACACACACACACACACACACACACACACACACACACACACACAGCGTGTGCATATGTATGTGTCACACAGCAGGCACCTTGTAATTCCAGTTGTGCCACATTCGGGCAGAACACTCATACACGTAAAACCAAATAAAATTTAAGACATTTAAGTGAATTGTTACATTTTACTAGCTAACATTGGTGCAACATTCCTTTTTGTTCAAAATTGATTTTATGATTACATATTGGAAAATAATTACACTTACACACACACTCAAAATCCTTTTTTTCTTTTTTTTTTAGAGATAGGATTTCTCTGTGTGTCCCTGGCTATCTTGGAACTCACTACATAGATCAGGCTAGCCTCAGAGGTCCATCTGCCTCTGCCTCCCGAATACCACCACTGCCCAGCCAAAAAAAATCTTTTTTGATAGTACTAAAATATATTTAAGCTATGTTTTCTGTGAATGTTTGTTTGTTGGCTAAAGTCAATTCTCATGTGTATTTCTCATGTGAAAACTAATTTGAAAGTAGAGTTCCTTTTACTTGTAAATAGTTAATAGTTATAGATTATATTATATTATAGTCTTTGTCTACTGATATGGTAAGCTCACTTTTTGCATTTGATCTTGTTGCTTGAGTTATCTCCAGTCCAGCCCGCCCAGGCCAGAAGCCACTCAGACCCAAATAAACATACAGATGCTTATATTATTTAAACTGTTTGGCCTAATGGCTCAGGCTTCTTGTTATCTAGTTCTTATATCTTAAATTAACCCATTTCTATCAATCTATAAGTTGCTACGTGGCTTGTGGCTTACTGGTAATTTACATCATGTTTTTTCTGTCTCTGGCTGGTGACTCCTGACTCAGCCTTCCTGTTCCCAGAATTCTCTTCTCTGCTTGTCCTGCCTGTACTTCCTGCCTGGCTACTGGCCAATCAGCGTTTTGTTTATCAACCAAATCAGAGCAACACATTCACAGCATCCCCAGCACTTCCCCTTTTCTTTTTTTCAAAAGGGAAGGTTTTAACTTTAACATAGTAAAATTACATATAACAAAACAACTATCAAGCAAGAATTACAGTTACAGCCGGGCGGTGGTGGCGCACGCCTTTAATCCCAGCACTCGGGAGGCAGAGCCAGGCGGATCTCTGTGAGTTCGAGGCCAGCCTGGGCTACCAAGTGAGCTCCAGGAAAGGCGCAAAGCTACACAGAGAAACCCTGTCTCGAAAAACCAAAAAAAAAAAAATAAAAAGAATTACAGTTACAATATCTAGTCTATTTATAATACCTAGTCTATTTGTATTTGGCAAAATTAAAGAAGATATCCTATTAGACATCCCCAGCATGATCAATCTCATGTTTTATCTACTCTACATCTAATCTGTAGAGTTTAGTATTTGTACATTGTTCTATACTTAATTGATTGTATGTAGTTATTAAAAGCATGACCTGTATTGGCATTCTGTGAAACTGTTTTAGACCTTTGTAGTTTCCCAGAATTATGGGCATAATGACCATCCATTTTCATTGACTTTGCCCTAAGCTTATCTGCTAGCATGCCTCTTATGATTGGATATTTACATTATCAAATAATTTTAGGCCCCAATTTTGCATTTAAATAGCAACATTCATTAACAAGTACCAATTAAACATCAGCCTTATGTTCATGCTTTTGGCTGGTATGAAACTGATTCCCTTTTTGAATAATTCCCTAAATTTAAAATGTTTTATATTGACTCAAATAAATGCAGACTCGTCTGGTTTGGGTTGTGACATTATGTGCCATCATGCTGATATTTATGCCGCTCTTGCATTTTTTAAGTTTGTATGGATATAGTTTCAAATGTATTATTTTCTTCAAGCTGGTAGCTCGGACTTGTGAAAGAAACCTCAATGATTTAAGGAAAGAAAATGCTCACAACAGACAAAAGTAAGTATTCATGGGAATACTTTAAAAGCTTGAAATAATTTTTTCAGTATGTAACACTTATATAAGGATAAATTTAAAAAAATTGTAGCAAATCCACATAGTTTGTTATGAAATATCTAGTTTTACTAGTTGTGAAGTTTTAATTTTTTTTTGTTTGAAATATTTTTCTTAGGCTACTACAGTGGCTATTACACTTTAAAGAAGGTTTTACAAGTTACACTGTAAAAAGTGTCACTTAAAAAAAAATTAAGCCAGTATGAGTGGAGAAAAAGAAGAGTGGGTAAAAGAAAGGCTGTGTCTCTGACACAGTGATGCTTAGAGCATCAGCGTTCTCCATCTCTAAGTAGATAAAGTGATTCTTGTCTCAGCCTTGGTTTGTTGTTGGGCATTATGTTATGCAATAAGAAAGTGAAAGAAAAAATAAAAGTGTGCAATAAAAAGGAAGCATAAATGCTTTTATCTAAGGGTGGTAGCAGTCTTGAAGAGTGTTAGACTTGCTTGCCAAATTGTACTTTTGGCATCATTAAAAACTTCCTTCTGTTTTCTGGCTTATAGCTCAGAAATAAAAGTCAAACAGTTGCTTTATTTCAAGTCTAAGGATCAGGAACTAAACAGTTGTTTAAAAATGCAACGTCTAAAGATACAAAGTTTAGAAATAAAATAGTTGTATCAATTAATGGGATTTCCAATTTTACAAGGGGAAGTGTAGGTGACTCAGAGCAGAGGTTTTGTGCTGTAGCCCTGGCCTTTTCATTTAGGAGTCAGTTAAGTCCCTGCCTTAGTTTCCTTAGTTATAAAATGACGCATTTTCACTAGTTTATCTTGGATGGTTCTACTTCAGAAGTGTAGATTCTGCGAGATAGCAGTCATCAAAGTCTAGTTTTAAAGAGCCAAGCAGTTCTAAACATGAGTACCTCTGAGGAGAAACCAGTCACCCCCAAGTAAGTGTGGGAATTGTAGAAAGGTATCCGGGCAGACCAGTGCTGGGCTTTTTTCTTTTCATCAGAGGTTGAGCTTGTGAGAGGAGCTGGTTTGGAAGTGGCCTTTGCTTAAAATGTGCTGTTTTTTTTGGCTGAGTAACTTTGAGTAACTTAGAGATGTTTATTATTTGTTTACAGATTAACTGAAGCAGAGTTGAAATTAGAACGTTTAGAAAAAGATCCTTATGCACTTGATGTTCCAAATACAGCATTTGGCAGAGGTAGTCTTTTTTTTAACCCCTTGTTTAAAATACACATTGTGTATTCATATATATTGTATATATAGTTTACTTTAGTGTAAGTTAACTTTTTTACCTAACAGTATTTTGTATTTTGTAGCAAGGATTCTATTTGAAACTGTTTCATTAACTCTGGGATGTCTTTCTGTATGCTGTGAATATATGTTGCTCTGATTGGTTGATAAATAAAGCTGTTTGGTCAATGGTGAGACAGAATAAGGTTAGGTGGTACATTCCAGAGAGGAAGAAGAAAGGAAAGTGGGGTAAATGCTGCCAACCACCGCTAGGGGAAGCAAGATGTGAAAATACTGATAAGCCATGAAGCCACATGGCAATGCATAGATAAATAGAAATGGGCTGAGTTAAGTTGTAAGAGCTACCTAGCGAGAAGCCTGAGCCATTAGACCATACAGTGTGTAAGTAACATAAGCCTGTGTGTGTTTACTTGGGTCTGAGTGGCTGCAGGGCCGGGGGGACACATAAAAACTTCCAAATACACCAAACACACACACACACACACACACACACACACACACACACACACACACACTCACACTCACACTCACACTCACACTCACACACACACACACACACATTGTGTATGTAGTTTACTTTATTGTAAGTTAACATTTTCACCCAACAGTATTTTGGATGTTGTAGCAAGGATTCTCTTGAAACTGTTTGTTTCATTACCTTTGCAGTGAAAATGACTGGTGTCTCCTTTCTCAGTGACATGTCCTCACAGGTATTTAGTGCTGTCACCTCCGTGAAAAGCTCGCACTCTGAATAAGGTGCCATTAGCTGATTTTTGGGAGGATGAATGAGAAGTACTTAAGTGGAATAGCATTGTGACTATTTATATATTAACAGTACTTTGAAATTTGCTTGATTAGAGTGAGAATTAACATAGCATTAAAAAATTCTTAAAGTATTGATTTAAAAGTTAGGGCAAACGTAGCCCACAGTCAATGACTATAATTATCCCAGGGAGGTTAGCCCTTTAAAGGTGCAGTTAGTGCCTGTGCCGGTTCATTATTGAGTTAGCATTTTAATGATCTCCAAATAGCTAATCATTTTCAGAGTGATTTTAGTTGAAGTGGAATTAAAGTCCTGTAGTTATGAAATGAAATCTTTATAGATAGAATCTACTTTTAATAACCTGTGAAAGTCAGCAAATCACTTTTGAGAGTCAACTTTCATTAAATGTAATGTGTCTTACATTTTAAAATATCAGATATTGAAGACTTCAAGTCATTACAAAGCTTGGAGTGGACAAGTATATAAGCAGAATTTTTGTTTAACTTCAAATCAGGATTCTATGGGAGGGTAAAGCATGCTTTGATCTTCTCGGTAAACCATTTGGTTGTAACAGGTACACATTTTATAAGACTTACTGTATTTTAAGTGTGAATTCCCTGGTGTTTAAGTTCTTTTTTTTTTTTTTTTTTTTTTTTTTTTTTTTTTTTTTTAACCTTTGGAAGCACAGTCACAATTTGGGAGTGATTACGTTTGTAAAATGGTAGGGCTCTTGGTCACCAGGATTACAGAGAAATTTATTGGATTCATGATAACTAATAATCCATGATAACATGGATTCATCTAACCGAGTCTTTGACTTTACAATTCAAAAGTAATTTCTGATTCTTCAAAGTACTTTATGCATTTACTTAATTTTCAAAATCTTACTTTTAGCTGGGCAGTGATGGCACACGCCTTTAATCCCAGCACTTGGGAGGCAGAGGCAGGCGGATCTCTGATTTTGAGGCCAGCCTAGTCTACAGAGTAAATTCCAGGATAGCCAAGACTATACATATAGAAAAACCCTGTTTCCAAAAACCAAAACTCAAAAAACTGACTGACACTAACATGTCAGGTTGAACGTGGCCTGTATGGCTGTGCCTTCAATCAAGCATTTCCCTGTTGTAAATCTTCCCAGTGGAAATATTGGGAAATATAATGTCACCAAATTCCCAAACCACCAGTGCATGGTGGCAGACACCGTCAATCCTACTACTGAGTCAAGGACAGGCTCTTAGTTTAAGGCCAATCAAGTATACATACCCAGTTCCAGACCAGCTAGTGCTACATATTAAGACAAATGTTCAAAAAACAAACAAACAAACAAACAAACAAACAAACAAAAACCCAACAACAAAACAAAACAACAACACAGGAAATGAACAAACAGAACAAGCAAATTCACTTCCTGCTCCCTAAATCCTTCAGTAACTCCTGAGTACTGCCAGCATCCTGTGTTTAACTTGTGTGGTTACTCACAGTAGCTTATGGTTTGGTTTTGTTTGTGGTTCTTTCGTTTATTGTTTGGTTTTTTATGTACACGTCTTGAGACTTGTGTTTATTTATTCATGTAAAGTTTCTCTTGAGCTTGTAGCCTGCCCTCAGCATTGCACAGATAAAAATAAGTGACATTTAACAGAGACCTTACTTACCACCTTCACATTTTAAAAATCAGACCTCTCTCAGGGGTAAGGAGGTGGCTGATAAGAGCACATACTGCTCTTGCAGAGGACCTGAGTTCAGTTCCTAGCACCCATATTGAGTAGCTAATGGTCCCTGTAAACTTCGAGCTCTAGGGTATCCAATGCCTGTGGCCTCATAGGCCACTGCAGCTTACATGCACACACCCCACACATAGACAGACTCACACATGCCAAATTAAAAACAAAATAAAACCTTAACAACGTCGGAACTTTGTATATAGGTGTAAAGCTGACAGAATTCAAGTTCTGACCATTTATATATACAACCTTATGTTTTAATTGACTAAATGTCTGATTTGTTGAAAAGCTTTAAAAACTCCAGGTTCTCTGTTTAATTCTGTGCAGTGTTCAGGGCACAGATTAGACATGGGCTGAGAGCAGGATGACCCAATGACAGTTGTTGAATGGGATTCTAACTTTATGATACAGCTAACTGAATATGCATGTACATCTGCTGTTTTAATTATTCCAGAGCACTCCCCATATGGTCCCTCACCACTGGGCCGACCTTCATCTGAAACGAGAGCTTTTCTCTCTCCTCCAACTTTGTTGGAGGGTCCACTCAGACTCTCACCTTTGCTTCCAGGGGGAGGAAGAAGAGGTATATTGTTTAAACATTTTTATTACTCTAAATTTCTTCCTTTATATTTTCAACTCAACTTACCTTTAAAATAATCTGTAAACAGACATTTGGAACGTACAGGCATTCCTTGCACTTATTATAGATTCACTTATTTTTTTAACTGGGTAAAGAATCTTGGGCCAGATATGGTGGCACACACCTTTTATCTCAGCAGTTGGGAGGCAGAAGCAGGAGGATCTCTGTGAGTTTGAGGCAAGCCTGGTCTATATAATAGCGAGTTCTAGGCCATTTGGAGCTGTATAGTAAGATTCTGGCTCAAAAACAAACAGCAAAATTCTCCATACCACTTTGTTTTTCATGTTTTTCTCTTGCACACAGTTTAAGGCGGGTGGCCATCCCAACTCTGAAAATTCAGAAATCCAGAGTGCTCTGAATGGCAGACTCTTTTGGTGTAGCACTCAAAAAGTTGTGAATTTTGAAGCATTTCATATTGCAGGTTTTGGGTTTGTGATGTTCAGCCCTTAGTGTCTATAAACACACACACACACACACACACACACACACACACACACAGCCAGGAGGTGGCGGCGCACGCCTTTAATCCCAGAACTTGGGAGGCAGAGGCAGGTGGATCCTGTGAGTTCAAGTCCAGCCTGGTCTACAAAGCAAGTTCCAGGACAGCCCAGATTGTTACACAGAGGAACCTTATCTTAAAAATCAAAAAACCACACACACACACACACAAATCTAAAATTGTAAACACTTATGGTGCCACGCATTTCCAGTAAGGAATATTCAACCTATACTGGATAATGAGGAGTCAATGTGTTTCTTTTAAAACTGTACTATACTACATAAAACCTTTTAAAGAATATGTAAGATATAGCAGTATAACCAGCAAAAAATGTGTTTTGATGAAACGAACAGAATATAGAATTTTATATGTATATATTTAATTGAGAAACATTTTTACATATTTTTTGTAGTAAATCAGAATGTGAAAGCCTCTAACCCGCCCTTTTTAATCATGAAGGAAGTCAGAAGGGCTCTTCTAGGCAGACTTTGGATGGGGCTTTTCAGGAGTCCTAACTCTTACTGACACTTTGAGAGGCTAAGCCAGGCTTGTCTGCCTTGCTCCCATACCACCTTGCTTTTTCTGAATTTCCATAGCTATGTTAAGTATAGGAACTGCTAATGAAATGTCTCTAACCATTTATGTAAGTGATTTAACAAACTAAATGTGAGGCAGGGACAAGTGAGACTATGAAAACAGCAAGCTAAACCAAACATATCAACATTGCACAGAGTCCACTCACTGCTAGGGTCTCTCAGGCAAACTGTGTCCTTCTGCTAAACCAACGTCATTGTAACCATTTTAGAATCCTGTTTTTTGTGAGAATATCATTGCCCTACAAATAAGTTTAATTGGCAAAACTAACTCACTGGAAGTTGAATTGCATAAGTCAAGGATTGCTTGTAGTCAAATGAATGTTTGAAATTATAAAAATTACCTTTCCTTTCTCCTCTCCTGTTTAAGTACTTTCCTCTTCTATTTAATTGTTTTTAAGTGACAGTATGTTTAGATTATTTGCAAGGTTATTTCCTGTCTGTTAAAAAGCTACAGAAGTTCTTGGTAAGTTACCAACAGGCCTGAAATCTCTATTTGGATCAAGTTTCCTATGACCAGTGAAAGGACAGAGTGGCTCCTTCTCCTTCATCTGATTATCTTGAAATTTGAAAGCTTGAATAAGATTGTGTATAAGGAAAGCAATTTATTTTTAGAGAGTGAATTGTAGATAAGTTGTTTTTAAAACTCTTTAAGCTTTTGTGTTTTCAGGTTTGCTATGTCACTTGGCCTGTGGCTTTGGTCCTGGTAGCGAGTGATGAGGAGTCTTAGAACCTCTCATTAAGGCCTGTGGACTCCTGAATGTTCTCCCTTCCCATTATTTCCATTATTCCTTATTATATATTATATTTCCATTATTCCTTATTTTTCAGACTTATTATTTAACCACTGATTATAATTATAAAATAATGATGATGGTAATTCATAAAGATGAATTTTATAGGCAAGTGTTGTTGGATATTTATTTACTTATTTTGTGCTATGGGTTGACCCCAGAGCCTTCTGTTAGCTAAGCAAAAATACTCTAATCTCTGAGCTATATTCCAGTCTGAAAGAAAGTATTTATTTATGCACATTGCAAAATTATTTTCCCATTTCTTAGAAATGGTTTTGGTAGAATTATAATCTAAATATTTTCCAGGGAAGCTTTCTTTGAATTTGTATTCACTTTTGAAAAAGCATCTTGATTTCGACAGTAGGTCTTTTGTGACACTTTTTGAGATAATATAGATTTGGGTTTTCTTTAATTAGGCCCACGAGGCCCTGAGAATCTTCTGGACCATCAGATGAATACTGAAAGAGGAGAGTCAAGCTGTGACAGGTTATCTGGTGCTCCGAGAGCACCTTCTGACAAGTCCCTGTCGCCTCCATGGGAACAAGACCGAAGGATGATGGCACCTCCACCAGGTATGTGAAAACAACAGTCACTGCTCATTTTTGCATGACATATTGTGTTTGGGACACAGTGAAGAGGACCATATGTGTTCTTATCTTAAAAATCTTACCTTGGGGCTGGAGAGATGACTCAATGGTTAAGAGCACTGGCTGCTATTCCAGAGGTCCTGAGTTCAATTCCCAGCAACCACATGGTGGCTCACAACTATCTGTAATGAGATCTGGCATGCAGGCAGAACACTGTGTACATTAAAAAAAACAACAACAACAACAAAAAAAACAAAAAAAAAAACCTTATCTTAAAAATAAGAGTATTTAAAAAGTATTATGAGGTGACTGTTCACATTACAGGAAGCTTTCCCAGTTATTATTGCTTATACAAGTAATACATGCTTATTTTTGAAAATCTGAACAATGTTAGGGATGCAGAGCTACAAAAGTAAAAATTTCCATTGTTGTCTTAGCACACATTTCTTGTCCAGAATTTAGTTACTTATCTTGAGGGATTTTATATATATGTTCACAAATATAGTTGTTAAAATTCTTTTATTACTGCTGCTTGAACTCTCAGTAATCCTCCTGCATCCTAAGCAGTTCTCCGGCCTCTCTTGAGACTACCCAGATCATACTCCCTGGAGTGACCAATGTTCTGGCTGGCAGGTGTCTCCTACTTGGGAGTGACGGAAATGTACAGGTGCAGGACCTACCTTCTATTTTCTAAATTTCCCAGGTGTGGCTTGCCTATAGAGAGGTGTTTTAGTTAGAGTTTCAATTGCTGTGAAGAGACACCATGACCACGGCAACTCTCATAAAGGAAAATATTTCATTGGGACTGGCTTACAATTAATTTCAGAGGTTTAGTTTATTATCATCATGGCGTGAAACATGAAAGCCTGCAGGCTGACAGGTTGTGCCACACGGAGTGTAGCTTGAGTATATGAGACTTCAAAGCTCACTTTCACAGTGACACACTCCTTCCAACAAGGCCACAAGGCCGTACTTCCTAGTAGTACCACTCCCTGTAGGCCAAGCATTCAAACATAGGCGTCTATGGGGCCATTCCTATTCAAACCACCACACGAGGATGCATCTGTGGATGCCAAGTGCAGTCCTGGAGCTTCAGGTTCTCAGACTTCAGCAGTGAAGAGCAAGCTGGGTGCCCCAGAGGCTGGTTTTCTCTCACTTCCAGCCTGAGCTTATGCCCTTGCTGCATATACTGTCCGGCTTGTCACAGCTGCTTCCTGGGCTTTTCTCACACTGCTTGTGGGTGGTTGAATTCAGAGTACTACTACTACTACTACTACTACTACTTTTTATTTATGCTTCTCTCCTATATTACATCCTAACCATAATTTTCTCTTCCTCCTCTCCTCCCAGCCCCTCACATCTCCCCTCTCCCCCAGATCCATTCCCCCTTCCTTCAGAAAAGGGCAGGCCTCCTGGGGATATCAACTGAACATGCTATATCAAGTCACAGTAAGACTAGGCACCTCCCCTCATATCAAGGCTGGGCAAGGCAACCCAGTAGGAGGAAAAGGGTTCCAAGAGCAGGCAAAAGAGTCAGAGACATCCCCACTCCCACTGTTAAGAGTGCCACAAGAACACACAGGCTCCCTGATTGTCAGTTTAGTCTCTGTGAGCCCCTATGAGCCCTGGTTAGTAGATTCTGTGGTTTTCTTGTGATGTCCTTGACCCCTTTGGCTCCTGTCCTTCTTCCTTCCCCTCTTCGCAGGATTTCCTGAGCTCCACCTAATGTTTGGTTGTGGGTCTGCATCTGTTTCCATCAGTTGCCGGATGAAGGCTCTCTGATGGTGGTTATGCTAGGCTCCAGTCTACGAGTATAGCAGAGTATCATTAGGAATCATTTCATTGAATTTTTTTTCCTTCTTTTTTTCTGCTGGTTGTGTTTGGTTCTATTGTAGGTTCAATCATAGGTCTCTGGGCTACCCTGCCTCTGGTTCCTGGCTCTCCAGACGGTATCAGGGGTGGTCCCTCTTAGGGCATGGGTCTCAAGCTGGACCAGTTATTGGTTGGTGTCTATCTGTTTGTCTCTTTCCCTCTCTCCTCTCCCTCTCTCTTTTAGATTTATTTATTTTTATGTGCATTGGTGCTTTGCCTACATGTATGTCTGTGTGAGGATGCCAGTCCCCTTGAACTGGAGTTACAGACAGTTGTGAGCTGCCATGTGGGTGCTAGGAATTGAACCCAGGTCCTCTGGAAGAGCAGCCAGTGCTCATAACTGCTGAGCCATCTCTCAGCCCCATTTGGTTGGTATTTTCATTAAGGTTTCAGTTGCTAGGAAGAGGCACCATGACCACAGTAACTTTTATAAAGTAAAACATTTAATTGGAATGGCTTACAGTTTCAGAGGTTTAGTCCATCTTCATCATAGTGGGAAACATGGTGACATGCAGGCAGTCATGGTGCTGGAGAAGGAGCTGAGAGTTCTACATCCTGATCTGCAGGCAACAGGAAGTGAACTGACATTGGGCATAGTTTGAACATAGGAGACTTTAAAGCCTACCCCTACAGTGACACACTTCCTCCAACAAGGCCATACTTCCTAATAGTGCCACTCCCTTTAGGGACCATATTCTTTCAAACCACCACAGATGGCTACTTCCACAAGTTCTGAGCCAACTTTACCCCAGCAGGACTAATTGTAGGTTGAAGGTTTTGTTGCTAGATTGGTGTCCCAATCCGTCCACTGGAAGCCTCGCTGGTTACAGAATATGGCAGGTTCAGGCTCTGTATCCTTCATTACTAGGAGTCTTAGCTGGGGTCACCCTTGTAGATTCCTGGGAGTTTCCATTGCATGAGATTCCTAGATCACCCCTGAAATACCCCCCCAATTCTAGTCATCACTCCCAGTACTCTTTCTCCCCATCCTTCACCCCCTACCTGATCCCTCTGTTCCTATCCCCATCTGCCCCAGTTCACTCACTAAATCTACTCTATCTTCCTTCCCAGGGAGATCCATGCATCCCACCTTGAGCTCTCCTTGTTACTTAACCTCTCTGGGTCTGAGCATAGTTATCCTTTACTTAGTAGCTAATGTCCACTTATTAGTGAGTATATACCATGTTTGTTTTCTGGGTCTGGGTTACCTCACTCTGAATGATTTTTTTTTCTAGTTCTATCCATTTGCCTGCAAAATTCATGATGTTATTTTTTTCTAAGCAGCTGAGTGACACTCCATTGTGTAAATGTACCATTTATCCATTCTCTGTTGAGAGACATCTAGATTATTTCCAGTTTCTGGCTATTACAAATAAAGCTGCTATGAACATAGGTGAGCAAGTTGTAGTAAAACGGTGTCTTAGTGTTTTTATTACTGTGAAGAGACAGCATGAAAACAGCAACCCTTTTTTTTTTTCTTTTTTCGAGACAGGGTTTCTCTGTGTAGTTTTGGTGCCTATCCTGGATCTCGCTTTGTAGACCAGGCTGGCCCTGAACTCACAGAGATCTGCCTGGCTCTGCCTCCTGAGTGCTGGGATTAAAGGCGTGTGCCACCACTGCCCGTCTGAAAATTGCAATTCTTATAAAGGAAAACTGTCAGGGACAAGGACAGAATCTCTAGTTAGTGGAAAAATACAGACCCCCAATAAGACAGGGAACTAGATCATCTTACAGTCAGGTTGCCTAGCAACAGGACATTGAGTCAGAGCCCTTGACCCTCTCACCCTGTAAACATCCTATACAAACATCCTGTTAGCTTGCCCCACCTTATACAGATGACAGCTTCTTGCTCCCCCCACCCCGCAGAACTATATAAACCTTTCTGGAAGAGAAATAAAGTGGCACCTTGATCAGAATCTAGACTTGGTGTCTTTGCTTTGTATCTCCTGTCCCTGCATTCCCTCCTTAGGGTGGTCGAGAACCCATTGAAGCCCTGCAGGCGGGGCAGAAAACATTTAATTGGGGTGGCTCGTTAACAGTTTCAGAGGTTCAGTCCATTATCATCATGGCAGGGAGCATGGCAGCATGCAGGCAGACGTGGTGCTGGAGGAATAGTTGAGAGGTCTACTCTTGCAGGCAACAGGAAGTCAATTGAAACTCTCGGTAGTATCCTGAGCATAGGAAACCTCAAAGCCCTTTCCCACAGTGACACATTTCCTCCAACAAGGCCATGCCCACCCCAACAAAGCCACACCTTCTAACAGTTCTACTACCTATGAAATTATGGGAGCCAATTACATTCAAACTACCACATTTCCAATTTCTGGCCCCTGTAAGTTTATAACAATATCATAATCCAAAATGCATTTAGTCCAACTTCAAAGCCCCCATAGTCTTTCACAGTCTCAACAATGTTTTAAAGTCCAAAGTTCCTTCTGAGATTCATGCAATCTCTTAACTGTAATCACCTGTAAAAATCAAAATCAAAAAGCAGATCACATACTTCCAACGTATAATGGCACAGGATATACATTACCATTCCAAAATGTAGGGAAGGGAGCACAGTGAGGAAATACTGGACAAAAGAAAGACCAAAAACCAGCTGGGCAAACTCCAAACTCTGCATCTCCATGTCTGATGTCAAAACACTCGAGATCTCCAACTCTGTTCAGCTTTGTTAATTGCAGCACACTTCTTTCTCTTGGGCTGGTTCCACTCAGCAGTTCTTGGCAGGTATCCCATGACTTGGGCATCTCTAACATCTTGGGTTCTCCAAGGCAATCCAGGCTTCACCTTCACAGCTTCATGCAATGGATTCTCTACTAGGCCATTCAGGGACACCTCTGACACATTCCTGGCCTCAGTGACTTTATTCCATAACTCCTTTCTCCTATCCTTAACTCTAAAGCCAGAACCATGTGGCCAAAGCTGCCAAGTTCTGCTGCTTGCTGGGACTGGAACATGGCCCCCTCATTCAACTATCTCCTCACCAGCTTTCTGTTTGCCTTCACTGCCTAACCTTGGCTGTCCTTGAACTTGCTCTGTAGACTAGGCTGGCCTCAAACTGGGAGATCCGCCAGCCTCTGCCTTCCCAGTGCTGGCTGGGATTAAAGTCATACACTACCACACCTGGCTCTAAGCATTTCTTTGGTTCCTTTTCACAAGTTGGAAACTTAGATGGGTGGAATCTACTCCCTTTATTCCATTTCTTAATCTGTTTTCATCCTTGAACATAGAACTTAGCTCCATTCCACTTCCTGGTGCTCCTTTTCTCCTCAAATATTTTTTGTTGCTCAGCTTGCTCCTTTTCACAATAAATCATCATCATAACCACACAACAGTGTCATACTAGGCTATTTTGAGATTTCCTCTACCAGTGGAATTAATCTAAAATTCTTCACTTTAGCCTTAGGCAGACTCTTCAGACAAGGGCAAAAGGAAGCCACTTTCTTCACCAGAATATCACAAGACTGGTCTCCAGGCCACAGACTAACATTCTCCTTTGAAACCTCTTGATCCCCACAGTTCATCAAGTCACATTCAGCACCTGTGTCTTTCATGCTCCTGCTAGTATTGCACATTAATCAGTGCTTAAAGCATTCCACTGCTTTCCAAACCAAGAGAACCAAAGTCCAAATTTCTCCAACAAACACAGTCTCAGCAATACCCCACTCCTGGGTACCCCACTTCTGTCATAGTTAGGGTTTCCATTGCTGCGAAGAGACACCATGACCACAGCAACTGTTATAAGAACACATTTGAGGTGACTTACTTACAGTTTCAGAGGGTCAGTCCATTATCATGGCAGGGAGCATGGTGGCATGCAAGCAGATGTGCTGGAGTAGTGGCTGAGAGTCCTACATCTTGCAGGCAACAGGAAGTTGACTGATACACTGAGTGGTATTCCGAGCATAGGAAACTTCAGAGCCTCTCCCACAGTGACACACTTTCTCCAACAAAGCCACACCTCCTAACAGTGCCACTCCATATGAGATTATGGGGGCCAGTTACATTCAAACTGCCACAGATAGCACATCCTTTGGGTGTGTGCCCAGGAATTGTATAGCTGGGTCTTGAGGTAGATCAATTCCCAATTTTTTGAGAAACCACCATATTGATTTCTAAATTGGCTGTATAATTTTGCACCCCTCCAGCAATGGAGGAGTGTTCTCCTTGCTCCACATCCTCTCCAGCATGAGCTGTCACTAGTGTTTTTGATCTTAGCTATTCTGACAGGTATACGATGGACTCTCAGAGTCGTTTTGATTTGCATTTCCCTGATGACTAACTAAGGGTGTTGAACATTTCTTTAAGTGTTTTTTTGCCCTTTTGAGGTTTTTCTGTTGATAATTCTCTGTTTAGATCTGTACCTCAATTTTTTTTTTTTAATTGGATTTCTGTTCAGGAAGTTGTTTCCTTTTGAACATAAATTCAGACATACTGAACCACTTCCTTTTCTATCAGGTTCAGTATGTCTGAATTTATGTTAAGGTCTTTGATCCACTTGCACTGAAGTTATGTGCAGGGTGATAGATATGGATCTGTTTGCATTCTTCTACATGCCAACATCCAGTTAGACCAGCACCATTTGTTGAAGATGCTTTCCTTTTTCCACTGTATATTTCTTGCTTCTTTATAAAAAAATCAGGTGTACATAGGTGTATGAATTTACATCTGGGTCTGATTAGATTCCATTGATTGATATGTCTGTTTGTATGCCAATACCATGAGTTTTTATTACTATAATTCTGTAGCAGAGCTTGAAATCAAGGATGATGATACCTCCAAAATTCTTATACTGTACAGGATTATTTTTGCTATCCTGGGTTTTTTGTTTTTCCTATGAAGTTGAATATTGTTCTTTCAAGGTCTGTGAAGAATTGTGTTGGGATTTTGATGGGGGTTGTGTCGAATCTGTAAATTACTTTTGGTAAAATGGCCATTTTTACTTCCGATCCATGAGCATGTGAGAGCTTTCCATCTTCTAGTATCTTTTCTTCAGTTTCTTCAAAGACTTAAAGTTCTTGTCATATGAGTCTTTCACTTGCTTGGTTAGAATTACTCCAAGATATTTTATATTATTTGTGGCTATTGTGAAGGGTGTTATTTCCCTGCTTTTTTCTCAGCCCATTTTTCATTTGTATATAGGAGGGCTACTGACTTCTCTCTTTTTATATCTTTTGAGTTAATCATGTATCCGGTCACTTTGCTGAAGGTCTTTATCAGCTGTAGGAGTTCCTTGGTAGGATTTTTGGGGTTGCTTATATATACTATCTTACCATTTGCAAACAGCAATACTTTGACTTCTTCCTTTCCAATTTGTATCCACTTGATCTCCTTTAGTTGCCTTATTGCTCTTGCTAGAATTTCAAGTACTATATTGAATTGATATGGAGAGAGTGGACAGCATTGCCTTGTTCTTGATTTTAATGGAATTGGTGTGAGTTTCTCTCCATTTTAACTTGATGTTGACTATAGACTTGCTGTAAATTGCCTTTATTTTGTTGAGTGTGTCCCTTGTATCCCTGATCTCTCCAAGACTTTTATTGTGAAGGGGTGTTGGATTTTGTCAGAGGCTTTTTCAGCATCTAATGAGATGATCACGTGATTTTCTTCTTTCAGTTTGTTTATATGGTGGATTACATTGACAGATTTTCTTATGTTGAACCATCCCTTCATCTGTGGGATGAGGTCTACTAGGTCATAGTGGATGATCTTTTTGACGTGTTCTTGGATTCGGTTTGCAAGTATTTTTGCATCACTGTTCATGAGTGAAATTGGTCTGTAATTCTCTTTCTTTGTTGCATCTTTGTGTGATTTGGACATCAGGGTGACTGTGGCCTCATAAACTGAATTTGTCAGTATTCCTTCTCTTTCTATTTTGTGGAATAATTTTAGGAGTTATTGGTATTATTAGGTCTTTGAATGTTGGTTGAATTGTGCGCTGAAACTGTCTGGCCCTGAGCTTTTTTTGGTTGGGAGACTTTAACAACTGCTTTTATTTTCTTTGGTGTTATTGGTCTATTTCAGTTATTTATCTGATCCTGACTTAACTTTTGTGAGTGTTATCTATCAAGAAAATTGACCATTTCTTTTACATTTTCCAATTTTGTATAATTCTTTGTATTTCCTTGGTGTCTGTTGTCATATCTCGCCCCCCCCCCCCCCTCTCCTGGGTCCTGCAGTTGGGACGAATCACTCCCATCCCTGTCTCACAGCTGCTTGGTCCCAAATAAACACACAGAGGCTTATATTATTTTCAAACTAGAGGCCTAATGGCTCAGGCTTCTTGCTAGCTAGCTCTTACATCTTAAATTAACCCATTTTTATAAATCTATACTTTGCCACGTGGCTTACCTGTACTTTTACATCTTGCTTCTTTTGGCGGCAGCTAACAGCGTCTCTCTACTCTCCTTTCTTCTCTCACTATCTCTCTTGGATTTTCCCACCTGGCTCCATCCTGCCCTGCCATAGGCCAATGCAGCTTTATTTATCAACCAATCAGAGCAACATATATTCACAGCATACAGAAAGACATCTCACAGCACCCCAATTTGTTTCTGATTTTTTTAATTTGGATAGTCTCTGGAATTCAGATTTCTTGATTTGTAGTTAATCTCTGTTCTCATAGGTTCCCTCTCAAGATGGTGCTCAGCCTTCACCCTCCAAGTCATTATAGAGTAACAGAATGGGCCTCCTTTTCATTGCTGATTCCTGCTGGGAGAATCAGAGTCTCACCAAAACCTGTAGTTTTGTTTGAGTCAGTGAACACTGTGGGTCTGTCCCTTCTCACCAGGGTGGCACGCTTCCCCTGCCCCACCAGAGAGCCATGTGACTGGAGCTGTGTTTGGCTTGGCTTAGTTTTGATAACAAATCCATTTAGATAAACAACAGCAGTAGGTTCCCCTCCAGGTACCATGACCTCCCGAGCCACAGTCTTTTGAGCAGTGCTTTACATGAACTCCCTCCTTTAAGGCAGGCCTCGAATTCAATCAGAATATGGTTGGTCATCCCTCAAAGAGTCATGGCACTACCGGGCCAGCAGCTGATCTTGACTGGAAGGTCATTAATGTAGCATCCAAGCCTCGTCAGTGGTTCCATTGGTGACTTTTCTTCTCTAGTGGACTGCATAGCACCTCTGCACTATAAAAGCTAGCCTGCAGGAAAGAAGTCTCCAGTTCCAGCTTGGTTTCTCTCTGTCCTCCAACAGAAATACGTTGTGTCCTTAGAAATAGGGTCTTACAGTGCACTGCTTTGTATCTGCCACGCAATAGATAGGCCCTGGATCTAAAGTAACAGGTTACTTTTTGTCAGTGGAGGGCAAAAATGTATATATTTTGTGAAAAAATAAACTCTGAGTTTCTGATATTTTGATGAACATTGGAAGGAAAATGCTAATGTGGTATCTTGAGACCTGATTAAGGATGAGTTAAGTTGTCAGTTTTCTCTACTTCATCCTAATATTTAATCAAGCCCATGTTGGAAGAAAAGTGGGGCATTCTGTGTAGATATAAGGCTTTTATTAGCCCTCTGCTTTCATGGGACTAGTTCTGATCCTCTGAGACAGCTCTTTGCTAAGATCTGAAAGGTGGTATAAATGAGCCTTCTCTTCAGAAGTTGTGGAACTTTCCTTAGTTTTGTCCTCTTACTCTTGGGAGCTCATTAAAATAATTCTTTCCATTGACTCTTGTTTCACCTAGGTGGTTTCCTTGGCATTGTGCAGGAGCGATGTTTCAGGGGAGTCTCCTGAGCTTAAATCAGATGAGGGGTGACATAGTTCAGGGAGTTCACAGTATGAACTCTGCTGTGAGGCCAGGGAGACAGTTTGGCACTGTTGCTGTTTGTAGTAGGATAGGATCTTAGATAGGGTTCCTGTTGCTGTGATAGAACACCATGACCAAAAGCAACTTGGCAAGGAACATGTCAGTGTCATTTGGATTTGGAAATGGTCTAGGAATAAAGTGACAATTCATGAATTTTTCCTGGCTTAATTTTTCTGTCTAGATGGGCCAGTCTCTTCAGAAAAGCAATCCAGTAGAAATGATACCAAAGATCAACCTGGTGTAAGTATTGGAAATTGAATTCTACCTATGTATCCATAACCAGTTTCTTGATTTTACTAGAACAAGGCTAGAGCTATTCTACTTGTGAATATCAAGATATTAATAAAATATACTTCTGCTTAGCATTATTAGCACTGTTTCATTTCTGGCTTGTAACCTTTGGTGAAATAGTACAAGTGATAAGCCAGGTTTTGATGATGTATGTAAACCTGGCATTTTGGCAGGCTGAGGGAAGGGAATTTTGTGAATTCAAAGTCAGTGTGGGCTCCATAAGGAGATCTTGTCTCAAAAACAACAACAATGAAAAACCCTAACAAATAATGGGCTAGAGAAGTGGCTTAGAGGTTAGAGCACTGGCTGCTGTGCCCTAACTTCTTTCCACTAGGCTTACCCTCAAAGGTTCTACCCCACCTCAAGTAGTACCACAGGCTGGGGACTGAGAGGCCGTGGGGGTAGCTTTAAGATCCAGACAGTAAGAGAAGAGTAAGTACAAAGGGAGTGAGGTAGATGTGAACCTGGCATTAGCGACATATAGTGAAGTGTTAAGGGGAGGGGCAGGTGGGTGTGGACCTTTGGGTACCAGTTAGAATTATGGGAGTCCTTATCTACTCCATCACCCAGGCTTAAACTATAGCAGTAATCCACAGCTGATTTATATCCTCTGTTATTTTGTTTTCTTCCCAATTTATTTGGAACCAAACCCTTGTGTATGTTATTTCCTCTGTGAATATTTTTGTGTACATCTCTGAAAGATAAGGACTTAAAGGTGATCATGAGATATACTGAAGAGTAACTGCCTTTCACCAGGTGTCCACGCTGCGTGTATTTGTTTTCATATACATACATTTACAAACTCTGATGGTGATTGTTAATTGGCAACTTGATAGATTCTCAAATCACTTAGAGCTGAGCTTCGGGGCAAGCCTGTGGGGAATTATCTTGATTGTGTTCACTGAGGTGGACCAACCTGCCCACTGTGGGTGGCGCCATTCCCTGGCTGGAATCCTGGATTGTATAAGTGGAGAAAGGAAGCTGAACAGCAGCATCCACTCATAGGTCTCTGCGTTCTGATTGTGGGTGTGGTATAACCAGCTGATTCAAGCCCTTTCCACCTGAATGTCTCTGCCACGATCCTTGAAGTGTGCATCTGAATAAACCCTTTCTGCCTTAAGAAATTGCTTTTGTTAAGGGTTTCTACCACAGAAGCAGAAAAGTAACTAAAATACAAATGTACATTTATATGTACATATGTGTTTAATGTGTGTATATAAGATCTATATCATATTATTTTTGAAATGTCTGGTTAATTGCTTATAGTCTGTAATGTCAGGATCCACAAAAGGTTCATGGGTTATAGTTAGTTACTATGTATCTTGAGGATTTTTTTTTAGTCTTATAAGTTCAAGTTTCAATTTCTTTCCCCATTATTAAAAATAATTTTTTAAAAAAACCACCACTGACTGCTTTCCTAGAGGACCTGGTTTTGGTTCCCAGCACCCTCGTGGCTCACAACTATTCTTAACCTCCAGTCTCAAGAGATCTGAAGCTTGATTCTATTCTCTGAGAACACTGAATGTACATGCAGACATACATGCAGGCAAACCCCCCATACATGTGAAATAAATAGAACATATTAAAAGAAATGAGAAAGAAACCTGACAGCTCCCACCTTAAAAACAAGTACTTTTAGATGGATTTTAAAGATTCTTCACTCGCTGAACACAATTTCAGAGTTTCTTCCTTGAAGTTTTATTTGAATCTTAAAATATATTTTAGTTTTAAAATATAACATTGATTTTGGCCATTATGAGATGATCAGTATCTTCACATTTTCTTCTTGAGTGTGTATTTGATAAACTCCTGCTTAAGTGTGAGCTGGGTAGAGACGATTACTGCCATGCTTAGGTTCTCTGTTGAGTTAGTAAAAATACTTATTAGGCTAGGGAACAAGTGGTTCCTACACTGGTGTGAAAACCTGAGCCTGTTCTCCGGCTTTCTAGAATGTCATGGACCGCTTTTGGTGTAGGTGCCTACATGCTTTCTTCTATGCCTGATGCTCCCAGGAAAGGAGCTGTGAATCGAGCCACTTGACTGACTGCTGACTGTCAATCTGTTACAGAACTCAAAAGTGCCTGATTCTCCTGGTCATGGCTTTGTCCCTCCACCGGGTCCCCCAGTTCCTCCTGTGGACCCAAGGAGCCAGTTTATGGGAAGGGCCTGCCCCTTCCCCCCACCTTCTCCAAGAAACATCTATGGAGCTCCTCCAGATTATTATTCTCCACCTAACGATTTCCCTGGCCCACCACGTCTTCCATTCCCAGGTAGGCTTTTTTTAAAGAGTCCATGTATGTGTCAACATTTATCTGTGCTTTTCTTCAAGTTTGATTCCTGCTGCTGTGATAAACACTGACCAGAACCAGCTTGAGGAGGAGAGCGTTTACATGGCTCACAGGTTATAGTCCAGCAACAAAGGAAGCCAAGGCTTCACCTTGATCCACCTTAGCTAATTTTGAATTTTAACTGTATTATGATAGTTCAGAGAATCACTGAATGTGTAAGCAGTTTTAAGTTTAAAATTATGTGTATTTAATTTGATAGAAATGTATTGTGTTCATTATTAAAATACTTACATTTTAGTCAAGATTACTGACTAAAGTGTTTTAAAGTCTTTTTCATAAATAGTTCCCACCTGATCATATTTATTTAAAATCTAAGATCATATTTAGTTATTTGTTGAACTTAACTGAAATTCCTTCATACCCTTACATTTTAAAATAAAAATAATTTGTTGCTTTTACAGCACACTTTACCCTTTGGAACCACAGGTTTCTACACAGTAAACGATGTTTTCAAGTACTAGACAAGAACCAGCTTGGTTGTCCTAGGTAGCTAGCTGCTCTCTGATCTCATCTCTAGTTTTAAAGTTCTAGGTGAATCAAATGAATTTTGTTTGGTAAGTTTTAAGAAGGTCCTTGGCATTACAGGAAATGTTTTTAGTAGACTATCAGGTCAGAATCATTGACCTGAATGCTAAGTTTGAAAATCTGACTACATTGAAAACCTGTTTTAAAGTAAGCCTTGACTGTATTGAGATCTTGTGTAACTGCCAAGATAAGACAAACATACCTGAAATTAATGATGTTCTTATTAATCCTATGTAGTGGAAGAAGTACATTTTTCAATATCAAAATTAATTTGTGAGATCAAATATTCTGGTGTGGGTGTTTGAATATCAGAATAACTACCGGAGCTAGTGGTTTTTAACAAGTGTGTAGTTTGGGGTTTCAACTTCCAATGTCCTTTGCTAATCTCTTTGAACAGGGAGAAATGTGTACCCACCGAGGGGCTTTCCACCTTACCTTCCCCCAAGAGCTGGGTTCTTCCCCCCACCCCCACATCCTGAAAGTAGACGTGCGGTCCCTCCAGACTTGATTCCACCTTCAAAAGATCCTGCAGCCGAACCTCCAGAACCCCAGGAGACCTGACAGTGGTGCTGGTCCCCCCAGCAGTCATTTTCTTCTCATTTCAGTTTAAGTAACTTCTATTACTTATGTGATTATATTTTTGCTCAAATTGAAGCTTACTGGAATTATAATTCTCAGGATAGTATTTTGTAAATAAATATGATTTAAATATGAATCTTATGAGTAAATTATTTCCATTTTATTTTATTCTGAATAGTATATTTTACTTTGATTACCTCATCCATAATTATGGTAGTTTTATATATGTAATCTTATAGTTGGGGATATCTTAACCTCAAAAGGCTGTGTCTTTATACCAGGAATGTGTTCACCGTGGTTGTAGACAAATGTAAAAGTAACTTTATGTATAATGAAATAAATTTTAATGATTTAAAGTCTTGTTTGGCATTGCTAATAATAAAACCAGCCAGTTTCACATAAACATGGTTCCATAAATTAGTCTTTTTACCTGTAGCAATAATTCAGTGGTTCAGAAGTCAAGCAGTTGGGGCTGCAGAGACGGTGGCTCAGTGGTTAAGAGTACTGGCTGCTCTTCCAGAGGACTTGGGTTTGGTTCCCAGAATCCACATGGCAGTCCCAAGCCTCTGTAACTCCAGCTCCAGGGAATCCAATGGCCTCTTCTGGCCTCCAGATGCACCAGGCATGCATGTAATGCACAGACATGCATGTAGACAAAACATCTGCACACATAAAATT